CACACAGCGTGACCAGGGGGGTACACCACCGCCGCCACCACCCGGTCGTCTGCTAAAAGCACCCCTCCGCCCCCTGCCTTACACCGCCCGACCACCGCCACCTCGCAGTGGCAGCAGGATGTGAACGCTCCGGAGAGGAAACCGCAAGTAGGCGGGCGACGACGCTCGCCCCGACTCTAAACAAACACCAGCAGCGGCAGCGGTGACGTTGATCGCCAGCAACCCGCGACCCACGGCCTGCCAACCGACGGCCCGCGATGCCACGGAGCTGGGCCCTGCGGGGCTTGTTCAGCCAGGATGCCTCACCGAGTCTCAGGACTCAGGAGGCTCTGTTTCACGGTTGGGGGTGACGGTCGCGACGTTAAGTAACTTGCGGCGTTATTCTACTAATTTGGCAAACGTGGACCGTGACGCCAGCGCACACAATGGCCCTACTCTCTTGTGAGTGACGTCACAGGATCTTTAACGCCCGCTGCGAGTGAAGGGGACGGCACGTAGTGTTATTGCTGTAATCACACACCATAGTATTAACCAGGGCGGCCGCTGGATTCGAACCCTGAACCTCTACAGCAAGCGGTAAACTGCTGGGCCACTGCGGGTGCCAGATAGCACAGTTTACGTACAAGATGTTCACCCGGGGGTCAAAGTACTATAGTGGAAGCAGGTCTCCCTCACTTTATACGGTAAATACATTTCAAACAAGAGGGCATGCAAAGCAAAACCGCGTAACATGGAACGCACGGTCATCCAACCCACAATGCACTGCACAAGGAGAAAGCTGCCAAGCAGCGCGTACACTACAGACGGTACACACACAGCACACATACTGTGCACACAGTACACACACAGTACACACACACAGTACACATACACAATGTACACAGTACACACACACAGTACAGACAGTACATACACAGCACACACACAGTACACACACACAGTACACACACACAGTACACATACACAATGCACACAGTACACACACACAGTATACACACAGCACACACACAGTACACATACACACACAGTAGACACACAGTACACACACACAGAGTACACACACACGGTACACACACACGGTACACACACACGGTACACACACACAGTACACACAATGTTGTCCCACGTCCGACCGCTTGCTAAGGGAGATTTCAAACCGCACGGCCGAGCCAACATGTTGGGTAGAGACCGAGAGAGAGACCGGTGGAGGTAGAGAGACAGGTGTAGGTGTCCTTGTGTGACCCCCCCTCTGTGTGGTAGTGTTACCCCCCCCCCTCTGTGTGGTAGCGTGACCCCCCCCCCTCTGTGTGGTAGCGTGACCCCCCCCCCTCTGTGTGGTAGCGTGACCCCCCCCCCCCCTGTGTGGTAGCGTGACCCCCCCCCCTCTGTGTGGTAGCGTGACCCCCCCCCCGTGTGGTAGCGTGACCCCCCCCCCCTCTGTGTGGTAGCGTGACCCCCCCCCCTGTGTGGTTGCGTGACCCCCCCCCCCTCTGTGTGGTAGCGTGACCCCCCCCCCTCTGTGTGGTAGCGTGACCCCCCCCCCCTGTGTGGTAGCGTGACCCCCCCCCCCCGCTCTGTGTGGTAGCGTGACTGTGGTGGGGTTGGCCTATTGGCATTTGCACATTTAGTTATACGGCCATTGGAACAAAGTTGTGATTAGCCTTGGGTAGACATCCGTACACTGGAGAGGAATCTGCCCAAGGGGGGCGGGGAGGTGGGAGGGTGGGGGGTGGTGGGGGATAGGTGGAGGGCGGGGGGTGGTGGGGGGTGGTGGGGGGGGTCATATTGCTGCCATCGAGTTTGCACCCCGGCCCTTCTTTCTGACCCCCCGAAGGGGACAGTAATATTTCCACGGGGTGAGTCATTGATGCAATAGTATTTTGACCGCAGAAATATAAAAATATCTCCACATTAAAGCAGCAGATGGCATGTTGACGTGATTCTGGGGGGCGGTTGAAGAGCATCTCACGCCCGAGTCGCGGGGCCCTCGCTCCTTGGCAGCCACGGCGCATTGCTCAGTTCCTGGCCCCGCGGGGGGGGGGGGGGGGGGAGACTGTGGCACGCCGAGTACAGTGTGTGCTGCAGTGTGTGTGGTGCAGTGTGTGTGTGTGCTGCAGTGTGTGTGTGTGCTGCAGTGTGTGTGGGTTCTGCAGTGTGTGTGTGTGCTGCAGTGTGTGTGACCAGAGGTCTCACTCCGAATCAGTCGAGCGGCATTTTCTTTTCATCGGTTGCGTAACGCTGTGTGGAAGCTACCTGGTCTGTCACTTCGCACGCAACTCCAGGTCTTCTCGGCCAGTCATTCTCTCCCTTCTCCATGCTTGCGAAACGTGGACCCCCTAATGGAACATCTTCGCCGGTTAGAAACATTTAGGCTGGCCTGCCTACGATCCATCGTGGGTTTAACCAGGCTGGATTGTGTGAGCTCCTCCGGCAGGCAAGGCTGCGTTGACTGGGTAATGTAGTCTGCATGCCCAGCCACCGCATGCCTAAACAGATTTTGTTCAGCCGGATAGCGGGGGCTGAACGAGCACGGCACAGGTACAGGAGGATGGGGAGCTGAGTGGACTGGCCGATGACTGGTACCAGCAGTGTCAAGATCGGCCTCTGGAGGAGGCTCGTAAAGGACGCTACTGGGTGGTTGGAGGCAGTCGCCCTCCAACAACGGAGGGGGGAGGAGCGACGCTGACAACAATGAGTGGAGCACCGGGTGGCTAAAGCACAGCAAGTTGGCACAGTAGGGGTACAGGTGGTGCATCGGCCAGTCATCTCAGTCAGTCGACCCGTGGCACCTGGGTCTGTCCCGTGACCTGCCAACGGGCGTTCGACACTTCATGTGCCTCAAGGTGCACATAGCCTGGCACAAGCGTTGTGGTGACGTCACCGCCACTTATTGGCGAACGGCGGTTGTTGTTGTCTGTGGTTTATGTGTGTGTCTGTGTGTGTCTGTATGTGTGTGTTAATGTGTGTGTGTTCTGGTGTGTTTACGTGTGTGTGTTTTACGTGTGTGGAATTTTAGCGATTGTATCTACGCAATCACACTTTAGTACACCCTTTGTGTACACACACCACACATTTACACCAAAACCTCAGCTTCGGCAAATAAACGACTGTGCTCAACTGTTTGGCCACTTCTCATTACACAGAACACGCAGCATTGTCACAAAACATAAACATCTCACACAAATGATGACCATGACGATGATGATGATGAGACACTAAGGCCCCTTCTTCTTAGTCACAGCTCAGCTCAAGACTTGAGCCGGTGGGTTTTACCAGGAGCCGAGCCCGAGCCCAACCACAGCCGAACCTGACCCAAGCCAGGGCCCAGCCAGGGCCCAGCTAGAGCCGAGAAGACGGCCATCAGAGGCTGTGCCATCTCAGTGTGACGTCCGAGTTTAAACTCGCAACCACGGTGCCAACAAAACCTAAGACAGACGAGCTAAGACACGAACACGTGTGAGAAGGGCCACCCAGAGGTGGGGGCCGGGGCAATTTGACCCCCGTGTCTTACACCACAGAGGGCCCCACAACAAAGGCGGCCCTCTTGGGCCTCCCGGTCCCGGGCCTCGCCGAACCTCGGCGGGTCTGCCAGAGGGGAGGAGCTTCTGTGCGTAGAGCGGGAATGGAACTCGGGTCACTGGGTTCGGAGTGCGGTGAGCTGACCGCTACGCTGACCGCTCCCCAGCTTTGACGGTCAGACACAAATTGACACACGCACACAGCTCACGCCGATCGTGTCATTGCAAGGGGCCCCCGTTCTGGCCGTCCTTGTAGTGCACATTTGGGAACAAAATAATAAGAAGAAAGAGGCCTCGATCCAGCGGTAGAAATTCCACGTTACTATGACGCAAGCCACCATCATGCGTGCAACAAGTGGTCCGTGCGGTCAGCAAGCGGTGCACGGCAAGCGCGGATCCACATCGGAGGGAGTGAGGAGGGAGGGTGTTGGGCAGGCGTGCGTACACGCAGGCGTGCGTACACGCAGGCGTGTGTTCAGACAGGCGTGCGTACACGCAGGTGTGGACATTAGGGTGCCATTTAAAAGTCAAGTTTGTTATTTTCAAGGTCCATGCCTCCCGGTTGTATTTGTTTGCCGGTTAAACCGAGACGATCCCTCAATGTTGACGGGGCGCCCAATGGAGCGGAGATCAAAGTCGATAGACAGCACAGACGCAGAGGAGCAGCAGGCGGCCCTCTCAGGTGACCCGCCGCCCACACTGGGCATCTGTGGAAAAGAGCTTCATAGCTCATCGGATTCCTCCCGTCTAAACAAAGATTCTGATTCTGGGTAGGTGAGTGGGCGAGTGAGTAGGTGAGTAGGTGAGCGAGTAGGTGAGCGAGTAGGTGAGTGAGTAGGTGAGTAGTAGGGTTCTACTCAATATACGTACAGTCACAGTGTAGAGGCACAGACGCAGAGAAGAGGAGGAGAAGGGGGGACTCTGAGGGCTCTGTGACTACGAAGAGAGTCGAATGAGATTCTCAGGTGTAACAAACTGGGAGGAGGGAGACAACCTACAACACTGAGACTTCTTTTCATATGCAGTGAGTGGCACACCCTGGTGTGCGTAGAGGTGTGTGTCTGTGTGTGTGTGGGGAGCGGTAGTGTAGCGGTTAGCGCGTTGCGCTACGGGTTTGATTCCCGCTCACGGCCAACACCGGTGACGATTATCTGAACCGGTCCTGGGCCTCCCCTAGGTCGACTCGGCCTCAAATAAGTACCTGGTGCGATGTGTAAACATCGGCACTGGGGAGACAAAGGCGGCCGGGCGTGGTGTTGGCCACCCACCCCCTCGTTCGTGTGCCATCCCGGCCTTCATAGGTGCTCGCTAAAAGCACTTGCCCCGACAGTCTGTAACAGACTGTTGGGGCAAATCTAGATTAGTCTGTTACAGGTTACACGGGGGATCTTTGTCTTTGTTTTTTGACAGGTGTGTGTGCATACAGATATGTGTGTGTGTGCATACAGATATGTGTGTGTGTGTGCATACAGGTGGCCTTACCTGTCCATAATCCTTCTCGATGGCTGCCCGCTGCTTGCAGAACGACCTGCGGACCGAGAGGAACAAATTGAACTCCACAAACTGCCACGGCAGCGCACCACCCACGCAGCGCACCACCCACCTACACACGCACAACCTACCCACCCACGCACCACCCACACACCACCCACACACGCACCATCCACCCACCACCTACCCACCACCTACCCACTGCTGGGACCCCCACCCCTGCTGAGACCCCCACGAGATGAAGCTCTGGGGGTCCCACCAGATGGTGTTGGGCCCTACCCTGCCACGTTCTGGACGAGGTGGGAGTCACCCACAATTTGCCCCACCACACACAACCCGTCCATCACACAACAACTGTGCTGTCACCCATCCGTGCTGCTGGGGGGGGAGAGGTGGGGGGGGCTGGGAGGGCGGCATTGAAGAAACTTGCCCCCTTAGTTTGCCTAAAAACGAATTTAATTCGTTATGCACGCTAAAGAAAGCTGCTGTAATATTCGAAAAAAATATTAAATTCATTTCAAAAGATAAATGGTACGTACATGCATGCATTAATGCCAATCGAAGTTAGTTTGACCATTTGTTAAAATGAATATAATAACCCTGTGTGCCATGACTTTTGGGCCATCCTCGATATCAGCTCATCTGGCAGGATGGAGGACTCGGGGGCAGCCGGGCTGAAGCGGTGCGGGGCCCTGCGGACCACTTGAAACATCGCCATGGGGACAACACATCTTTCTCTCTCTCGCTCGGCAGTGAGCTCACTGTGGGGCGACGCACATGCTCGTGGAGCCAAGGGGCTCCTTTTCAATGGTGGCCCAGACGAGTGGGGAGATTTGACGAGGTAGCGAGATTCACAAGGGCAGCGACTGCAAGTGTCAAAGGCACGAGTAGGCCGAGACGTCAAAGACACCCTGGGAACCCTCCAGCATCTCCCCGTGTGGCCAGCCCCGCGGCTGCCACTCCATCACTGGTTCCACCCTGGGCTCCCCCCCCCACCGTCCGGTGAGAATCCACGCGTGTCGATTTAATCCGCCGTGTAGTAGCGGGGGCGGTGCGGTTCCATAAAACTTTTACCGAGAAATCGACACCAACGCAGACACCGGGAGCCCCGAACACTGCGGTGAGAGCAGACAGCTCCTGGCCGTGACATCACCAGCGCGAGCCCAGCACTCGGAACGCGGGCGGTGGTCGCACGTGGCCACCGCCTTAACCGTCCCAAAATAAACACAATCGTCACGACGGGGCCAGCGGCAACCCCGCCGAGGAATGCGAATGGGGGTGGGGGGGGGAAGTGCGGAAAAAAGGAGAGGGGGGCGGGAGGGGGGTGGGGGCGGAGACGTGGACGGGGGTCCCTTATCATGGGAGAGAGTTCACGATCGACGTTCAAGGTCCACGCGGTGGCGCCGTATCGCCAAGGCTGGTGACGCAAGTCCACCCGCAACGCCTGCAGGTGCAGCCTGTACTGGCAAGAGCTGCGAGCGAGCGCCTCTTAAGGCTGCCATGGATTTGGCGAACTCTACGCACTCAGACAAAGGGAGGAGTAGGGCTCGGGGTGTAGCGTGGTTGGCATGGGCCCCGGTGCAGTTGCACCAACTTCACACTCGAGAGTTGCGCCACTACCCAGGACAGGGCCAGCGGCCAGCTCGTGGTAGCCGTGGCCTAGAGTCCAACCCAGGCTATCGGGACTGTGCCACCTTTGCTCGGCACTGCGTGAACAGATTCGGGGGCGCTCCTGCGCAGGTTTTCTCGTGGGATGAGCTGCCGCTGTTCGACGCGACGTCCAAAGCGTCGCTCCACATGCCAGCGGCTTCCTCGACCACGACGAAGCTGCCGACGCGGGGAAGCCAAACGTCGGACCTTGCGCCGGATGACATGCACGGCACGACCCTTAACCCTGGGACGCATCACCAGGACTCACGACCACACACACGCAGACGCTCAATGTCTCGCTATCCTCCTGCACCTCGTCTCCTCCTGGCCCTGGGCCAAAGTCCAGCGCGACACTCGGCACGAACAGTGGCCCACGCTGTCCGCCCTCGGGGTCAGGCCGCCCGGACCGACTCCTCCCCCCCCCCGACCCCTCCCCCCCACCACCCTACCATCATAAACCACCACGCGGTAGTTTTATTATTTATTTAAAGGAAATATTTCACCTTGAAAGCCCCTTGCAAACAGGTCACCTTGCACACGGATCGTTTGCAAGGTGTTGAAGGTGTCAAGTAACGTTGATATATCGTACATACACACACGCACGTTCACGTAAATGTGTACACACGTATACACTCACGTACACCTACACCGTGGAACGTGTAAACACGCACAGTGTATCGAGGCCTTATTCACAGCACGCCGACTGCGTGACCATCGTGCCCAGTCACACGCGTCGACGCGCAGGCGAAGCGCGCGGGCGAGCGCGCGCTCAGGTGTGCGCTCAGGTGTCCGCTCACCGCCACCAGCTCACGACGGCGGCCGTGCCAAGTGGAGTGCGACGGAGTTAACGCTCCGTGCCCTCATCAAGCCCGTGGTGGACTGTGAAGTGTTTTGATTGTGGATGGTGAGCGTTTTATTGGTCGTTATTGGTGTTTGGGTAGTGATTGGTTGGTGTTTGGTTGGTGGTTGAATGGTGTTTGGTTGGTGCTTGAATTGTGTTCGGTTGGTGGTTATTGGTGGTTGATGAGTGATTGGTTGGTGGTTGGTGGGTGGTTGGTGGACGGAGTCACACTGCACTGCAGAGTAAACACGCGGCGATGGATCACGCATCCTCCAGCTGGTGGCTTCCTGCCAGGAATTTTTCAGATTCTTTAAAAAACGAGAACATGCTGTCGAGTCAGCTCTGCTGCCCATCCGCCCATCCGCCCACTCGCCCAGTCGCTCACTGGGTCACTCACTCGGTCATTAGGTCGTAGTGACAGTGGGTCGTTTGACGACTCCCAGCAGCAGCGATCGCGAGGCTGTTTAGAGAGGGATGCCGCTACTACTGCCGCTGCTGCTGGTGGCACGTAGCACAATCAAGCCCCGTCACCCAGCACAACGCCTCTTGTTAATCCACTGCTGGATGACGGCGACCCCACACCGCGTGGGCCGTGGCAGCACAAGTCACAGATCCAAAACGCCAACGTTGGTTTGACGTTGGGACCAACATTCTCAGGTTTACTGGCTACAAATCCCAATTGTGTGATTTGAGAAAGAGATCGGAAATGATTTAATCCCAGATGAGATCAGCCCCTGACTGTTTGTAATGAACGAACATTCCATGCACCGTCCCGGTGGGAGCCGCCACCCACCCAGCCCTCCGAGCCCCCCGGCCCCCAGCCCACGGCTGGAATCCGCACGGATTCGTGGCGCAAGGATGACCTCACTTTCGTCTACGTGGTCGCAATTTCCCAAACCCGGAGTTCGCGTGACGCAAGCCCCGGGGTCTACGACATCGCCGGTAAACACGAGGCGAGCTCCAAGCAGAGCGTGACCCCCCTCCCCGTCCGGCGCAGCGGCATCCAAAGAGCCAGCGACCCGCGCGCTCCACCAAGTCGAGCGCATCAGCGCACACCGGCTGGTGACGGCCATCGAGACGGCGCTTATCTCCCGTTCGCGGCGCTGAGCCGGCGGTGGAAATTCCCCGTTCCTATGGTGGGGGGGGGGGGGGCTATTCAAAAGACAACCCACTGTTGACCTCCCCACAAAGTGGTAGTGATTTTATCGGCTGTGTGTCAGGTGATGTGTAGTGGCTGTGTGTGTAGTGGCTGTGTGTAGTGGCTGTGTGTGTAGTGGCTGTGTGTGTAGTGGCTGTGTGTGTAGGCTGTGTGTGTCAGGCTGTGTGTGTAGGCTGTGTGTGTCAGGCTGTGTGTGTAGGCTGTGTGTGTAGGCTGTGTGTGTGTAGGCTGTGTGTGTGTAGGCTGTGTGTGTCATGCTGTGTGTATAGGCTGTGTGTGTGGGCTGTGTGTGTAGGCTGTGTGTGTGTAGGCTGTGTGTGTAGGCTGTGTGTGTAGGCTGTGTGTGTAGGCTGTGTGTGTCAGGCTGTGTGTGTAGGCTGTGTGTGTAGGCTGTGTGTGTCAAGCTGTGTGTGTAGGCTGTGTGTGTAGGCTGTGTGTGTAGAGGCTGTGTGTGTGTCAGGCTGTGTGTGTAGTGGCTGTGTGTGTAGGCTGTGTGTGTGTAGGCTGTGTGTGTAGGCTGTGTGTGTCAAGCTGTGTGTGTAGGCTGTGTGTGTAGGCTGTGTGTGTAGAGGCTGTGTGTGTGTCAGGCTGTGTGTGTAGCGGCTGTGTGTGTAGGCTGTGTGTGTAGGCTGTGTATGTGTAGAGGCTGTGTGTGTGTAGGCTGTGTGTGTCAGGCTGTGTGTCAGGCTGTGTGTATAGACTGTGTGTGTCAGGCTGTGTGTGTAGGCTGTGTGTGTAGGCTGTGTGTGTAGGCTGTGTGTGTAGGCTGTGTGTGTGTAGAGGCTGCGTGTGTAGGCTGTGTGTGTCAGGCTGTGTGTGTCAGGCTGTGTGTGTCAGGCTGTGTGTGTCAGGCTGTGTGTGTAGGCTGTGTGTGTAGGCTGTGTGTGTGTAGAGGCTGTGTGTGTAAGCTGTGTGTGTCAGGCTGTGTGTGTAGGCTGTGTGTGTCAGGCTGTGTGTGTCAGGCTGTGTGTGTCAGGCTGTGTGTGTAGGCTGTGTGTGTAGGCTGTGTGTGTAGGCTGTGTGTGTGTAGAGGCTGTGTGTGTGTAGGCTGTGTGTGTGTAGAGGCTGTGTGTGTGTAGGCTGTGTGTGTGTGTAGGCTGTGTGTGTAGGCTGTGTGTGTGTAGAGGCTGCGTGTGTAGGCTGTGTGTGTCAGGCTGTGTGTGTCAGGCTGTGTGTGTCAGGCTGTGTGTGTCAGGCTGTGTGTGTAGGCTGTGTGTGTAGGCTGTGTGTGTGTAGAGGCTGTGTGTGTAAGCTGTGTGTGTAGGCTGTGTGTGTAGAGGCTGTGTGTGTAGAGGCTTTGTGTGTATAGGCTGTGTGTGTAGGCTGTGTGTGTCAGGCTGTGTGTGTCAGGCTGTGTGTGTAGGCTGTGTGTGTGCAGTGGCTGTGTGTGTAGAGGCTATGTGTGTAGGCTGTGTGTCAGGCCGTGCTGCGCCGTGGTTCCACTTCGTGTTGCGTTGTGTCTCGAGGCCGTGCCAGCTTGTGCAGCGACGCGCCGTGTCAACCGAACGCGCACGGGCACACAGAGCAGCGCTCTCACAGGAATTAAATATCGCTCGGCGCCAACACAGAGCCAGCCTTGTGACCAGCTGGCACGCCCGAATGCGCACGCACACGCACGACAACAATAACACACATCATCGCCGCCCCGATCCACTTGCGAGACTTTTGGGACAAGTGCCATGAGCGAGTAGCACCTCCGAAGGCCGGCACGGCGCACGGCACGGCGCACGGCACGGCGCACGGCACGGCGCACGGCACGGCGGCCTGCCGTGCCGTGCGAATGTCATTAAGGTTGGGTCGACCAAGCGGAGGCCCAGGACGGGTTCAGATAATCAGATCATCTTCACCGACGCTGCGAGCGGGAATCGAACTCTGGTCACCGGGTTCATAGAGCAGCGTGCTCACGACCGCACCAGCGCTCCCCACACACATGTACACACACGCACATACACTCGTACACACACACGTACACATCCGTACACACACGTACGAACAGGCACGCGTGCACGTCTCACCGGATGTCCTCCAGGAGGTCGCTCTCCTGCTGGTGTTTGGCCGTGAGCCGCGCAAGCTGCTCTGTCTGCGCGCACCGCACCTCCTGCGTCACCTTCGCCTGCACCACAACACCAGAGCGTGTCACAAACACCACCATTAGCACCATCACCACCAGCGCCACCACCACTCATCGCCACCACCATCAGCGCCGCCACCACCATCAGCACCACCACCACCATCGCCACCACCATCAACGCCACGAGCGAGCGGCACTACCAACACCACCACCATCACTGCTGCCACCAATACAAGATGAATATCCCCTGTATAGCCAGCCTCCACACGGTGAATATAAAACCCGTGTGTGCGTGCGTGCGTGTGTGCACTGAATTTCTTATTTAACCGTTAAACCGATGGCATCGGCCCTATCCCAAACGCAGCGCACGAGCGCACGCGTGTTCCTCTATTTGTTTTAGGAATGTAAACAATGGATGAGACAAAGCCAAAGATTCCCCGCATAGCCGTCAACAGGCTGTTGGGGCAAGTGCTGTTAGCGAGCACCTATTGAAGCCGGCATGGCACACGAGCCGGTGGCGTGGCCAGCACTACGCCCTTTGTCTCCCCAGTGCTGATGTTTGCACACCGCACAGCGTTAATCACCAATGTTGTGAGTTGTATTTACATTCTAATTCAAAAGGAATGAAGCGGGATCCCTCGTGGTCAAGAGTTCGCAGACGCCACGAAGCTTTCCTGGACAACTGCTGGACGTCACCACGCTTAGCTTCATGACTGTGTGAGGACCACTGCTGTCATTACGACACCTCACGATGTATTATTATTACTCAACGTGTTCTCTGTAGCAGTGCTGCCACCAGCATCATCACCATCACTGCCGAGTGTGTGCGACGTCAACACAATGTGAGTGTCACTACTCCCACGTGTCGATATTATAAACATCAACACAACAACCATCAGCTACAGCGGCAGCACCATCTTCAGCACCAACAGCATCATCAGCTGCACCAACATCATCATCATTAGCACCACCAACATCATCATCATTAGCACCACCACCAGCATCATCATCAGCACCACCACCACCAGCATCATCATCAGCACCACCACCAGCAGCAGCATCAGCAGCACCACCACCACCAGCATCAGCACCACCAGCATCATCATCATCAGCAGCATCATCATCATCAGCACCACCACCAACATCATCATCAGCACCACCAGCATCATCATCAGCACCACCACCACCAGCAGCATCATCATCATCAGCACCACCACCACCAACATCATCATCAGCACCACCACCAACATCATCATCATCAGCACCACCAGCATCATCATCAGTAGCACCACCACCACCAGCAGCATCATCAGCAGCATCATCAGTAGCACCACCACCACCAGCATCATCACCACCAGCAGCATCATCACCACCAGCAGCAGCATCATCACCACCACCAACATCATCATCATCAGCACCACCAGCATCATCATCAGTAGCACCACCACCACCAGCAGCATCATCAGCAGCATCATCAGCACCACCACCACCACCAGCACCACCACCAGCATCATCACCACCACCAGCATCATCACCACCAGCAGCATCATCATCATCAACACCAACAGCATCATCAGTAGCACCACCACCAACAGCATCATCATCAACACCACCTCCACAACCACCACCAGCATCATCAGGAGCACCACCACCAGCACCACTTCCTGTCTGCCACGCATGTTCACACCTCAAGAGGACGCAGAAGCAGATCACCTGCTGAGTATAATTATTACGGGATCGTAGATTAAGGGGCAGCGGTAGTGCAGTGGTTAGCACCCGGAGACCTGAGTTAGATTCCCGTACACAGCTAACATCAGTGGCGAGCGATAACGTCAGAAGCTAAGCATAGATGAGCCTGGATAGCGCTTGGAATGCGATCACCACGCAGAGGCTGTCGCAGGCGCTTGCGTGGCTACCACGTGGGCAGCAGAGGGTAGCGTGGCAAAAAAAAACTCCGCTACTGTACTGAACTCCTATGCTCGACCAGCGTGGTGAAGTATGGAGTTGGCCCGCACATCAGCAGCAGTGGATGGAGAATTACGATTAATAACAATCCAACGTTTGGGACCCATCAATCATCTCTGCATCTGTGTCCTCACATTGCCCACCCCCCCCATCCCAGTCACCCACCACTTCACTCTCCCCATCAACCCCCGTGACTCCAACAAAAACAACACCACCAACAACAACAACCTCCACAAAATGTCCACAACTTCACCACCACTCCCACAACAACAGCTGCTGCTGCTCCCATAACCACGCCGTCAGAGTGAGACGCCAACTCTCCCCCCCCCCCCAGCAGCAGCACCTCATCATCATCATCCCGGCTCCACCACACTCGCATCGATGGTGATTCTACGAGCGGCTAAAGGGCACGGATTCTGCATAATCACGGCATGACCAGCGTGGTGAAGTATGGTCAAACCGCCCCCATACAAACACGACTCAGTCCATCAGCCCGTGTTGGCCTTCCAGACCACGAGCATCCAGCCGCAGGAACAGCAGGCACGCTGTGGCCTGGTTTCGACCTTTCTGGGCCTCATCCCAAACAAGTGACAGCGACCACCAGCGAGCATTGTGTAATGTAGTAGAGTAGCAGTGGAGCGAGGGGGGCCCCCTATCTTAAAGAGAGGGCGGGGGGGGGGGGCTCCTTGCCCATGAACATCGCCTCGTTCGCCAGCTCGAGCAAGCCTGGCGCTGCTGATGAGACACCGAGTGTCGAAACCGGCCCACAATGTGCGTCTATCAAGTTGATACGTCCCACATTGGCTCCAGCAAGGCCGGTCCAGACGACTTCCCCCCCGGGTTTAACCAACGTTGATGATGACGAAGATGACCTCCCAAAAGGGTCGTGTGGCTGACGGGATGTAGATGTGTATCCTTGTTGTTGTGGTTGTTTGTTGTTTAAATAAACGCGAAAGACAAACGTGGTCTCGTGCATTGCGGGACCACAACACAGCTGATGCTGCTGCTGACTCTTACTCCATGCACCCCCCCCCCCCCCCCCAATAACCATCATCATCATCCCCGGGACCCCCGGCTGGGCTCATCTTACCTTCCGCGGGGGGGGCTGCATGATGACGCTGATGCTGAATCGTGGGGGGCCCCAGACTCGGGCTGAACTCGGCTCAGCTCAGAGAGCATCACACTGGCGAGCCTCCATCGGGGGCGATCAGCTTTGTTGTTCCTTCTGCTGCTGCTGCTCCTTCTGCTGCTGATGCTGCTGCTGCTGATGATGCTGCTGCTGATGATGATGCTGATGATGCTGCTGCTGCTGCTGAATCGCCTTGTGCTGCTGCTGCGAGAGACAGAGGAGTGAGAGGAGGAGGAGAAGGAGGAGGAGACGGAGGAGGAGACGGAGGAGGAGGAGGAGAAGGGCGCTGAGCGCGAGACGGACCCGCGAAGCGATCGCCGCTGCGCGCTTCCCGGGCGGGGACGGGGGAGGGGGGCGGGGCGGAGAGGAGGAGGGGGGAGGGGTGGAAAGGGGGAGGGGCTCGGGCGGAGCACGTGGTGCCAAGCCACCGCCCTGAGCTCGCGGAGCTGCAAAGACAAAGGTGCCCCGCGTAGCCTTCACCAGAGCGCTGGGGCAAGTGCTGTGAGTGAGCGGCACGTACGAAGAGGGCTGGCACGGCATATCGAGGAGGTGGCTCACACCACTTCCCGGCCGCCTTTGTCTCCCCGCATCAGGCACTCATTTGAGGCCGAGTCCTCCAGGAGGCCTCTGACCGATTCAGATGTCCGCCTCTGCTGTGAGTGGGGATCGAACTCGGGCGGCCGGGTTCGTAGCGCAGCGCGCTAACCACTGCGCCACCGCTCCTCACAAATACACGCGCGCGTGTGTGACAGGGCGCAGCGGGACACCGGCGTGATGCGTCAGCGTGGTGATGGTGGTGATGGTGGTGGTGATGGTGGTGATGGTGGTGGTGATGGTGGTGATGGTGGTGGTGATGGTGGTGGTGATGGTGGTGGTGGTGATGGTGGTGGTGATGGTGGTGGTGATGGTGGTGGTGATGGTGATGATGGTGATGGTGGTGGTGATGGTGGTGGTGGTGATGGTGGTGGTGATGGTGGTGATGGTGGTGGTGGTGATGGTGGTGGTGATGGTGGTGGTGATGGTGATGATGGTGATGGTGGTGGTGATGGTGGTGATGGTGGTGGTGGTGATGGTGGTGATGGTGGTGGTGATGGTGGTGATGGTGGTGGTGGTGATGGTGGTGATGGTGGTGGTGGTGATGGTGGTGGTGATGGTGGTGATGGTGGTGGTGATGGTGGTGGTGGTGATGGTGGTGATGGTGGTGGTGATGGTGGTGGTGATGGTGGTGGTGGTGGTGATGGTGGTGGTGGTGATGGTGGTGATGGTGATGGTGGTGATGGTGGTGATGGTGGTGGTGGTGGTGTTTACATGCAGTGAAAGCCTCAGCTGTTTTATTGCAGTCGTTAGGATGTGGCCACTAACTCCACACAAGTCGATTACGGCCGTGACGCCGATTACCACAGCCTTACACAGAGACCCGTAGACGTATTGACTTACATAAAGACCACATAATTACATAATGACCCCATGACATTTCGCAATAACCCAAAGACTTACGTCAACATTTACTGTACTTACATAGAGACCCCATGACTCAGAGACGTACAAAGATACACAAACTTACAAAGACACCCATAGACTGACACAGAGACCCATAGACTGACACGTAGACCCATAGACTGACACAGAGACCCATAGACTGACACAGAGACCCATAGACTGACACAGACACCCATATACTGACACAGAGACCCATAGACTGACACAGAGACCCATAGACTGACACAGACACCCATATACTGACACAGAGACCCATAGACTGACACAGAGACCCATAGACTGACACAGAGACCCATAGACTGACACAGAGACCCATAGACTGACACAGAGACCCATAGACTGACACAGAGACCCATAGACTGACACGTAGACCCATATACTGACACAGAGACCCATATACTGACACAGAGACCCATAGACTGACACAGAGACCCATAGACTGACACAGAGACCCATAGACTGACACAGAGACCCATAGACTGACACAGAGACCCATAGACTGACACAGAGACCCATAGACTGACACAGAGACCCATAGACTGACACAGAGACCCATAGACTGACACAGAGACCCATAGACTGACACGTAGACCCATATACTGACACGGAGACCCATAGACTCACACAGAGACCCATAGACTGACACAGAGACCCATAGACTGACACAGAGACCCATATACTGACACGGAGACCCATAGACTCACACAGAGACCCATAGACTGACACAGAGACCCATAGACTGACACAGAGACCCATATACTGACACGGAGACCCATAGACTCACACAGAGACCCATGGACTCATACAGCGCCCCCACGTGCACCACGTGGGTCTGTCTACATTCTTCACAACTGGTGGCGAAGTGGTTCAGAATGAGGACAGGGTGAGTAAAAAGGATTAGACTTTGAGTTAGCGATATGGTTGGCGTGCGGAATAGGGTTAGCTTTAGGAGTTTAGATAAGGTATGTGATTAGGGTTAGGGCGTATGATTCGTGTTTGGGGTGAGGGATCGGGTGAGTGCGAGTTGATATGGTTCGGTATAGGATGGAGCTGGGGTTAGGGATTGGTTTGGGTTACCGTCATGGCGAGTATTAGGGATAGGGTTGGTATTGGTGGTAGGTATACTGATGATGGTGTTCGGGGCTCGGTTGGGTGAGGGATAAGGTTTCAGTAACGCGAGGGGATATGGGAAAGTGAACCCACACAAGGGCAACACGCAGAATGCGCGCTCGCGTAATATGCGACGTTTCGGGCAATGCCTCTTATTCATAACACATCAACAGAGGTAGAGCTGACGCAAGGACACGCTGACAACCCGCCTGGGGTTAAGAGGACCTCGGCGGCACTTTCTCAAAGCGCACCCCAAGTGACGATGAGCACCCCTTGTCACTTCTCAAAGTGCACCCCAAGTGACGTGGCACCCCTTGTCACTTCACAAAGTGCACCCCAAGTGACGTGGCACCCCTTGTCACTTCACAAAGTGACGATGAGCACCCCTTGTCACTTCTCAAAGTGCACCCCAAGTGACGATGAGCACCCCTTGTCACTTCTCAAAGTGCACCCCAAGTGACGATGATCACCCCTTGTCACTTCACAAAGTGCACCCCAAGTGACGTGGCACCCCTTGTCACTTCTCAAAGTGCACCCCAAGTGACGTGAGCACCCCTTGTCACTTCTCAAAGTGCACCCCACGTGACGAGAGCACCCCTTGTCACTTCTCAAAGTGCACCCCAAGTGACGATGATCACCCCTTGTCACTTCTCAAAGTGCACCCCAAGTGACGATGATCCCCCCTTGTCACTTCACAAAGTGCACCCCACGTGACGTGGCACCCCTTGTCACTTCTCAAAGTGCACCCCAAGTGACGATGATCACCCCTTGTCACTTCTCAAAGTGCACCCCAAGTGACGATGATCACCCCTTGTCACTTCACAAAGTGCACCCCAAGTGACGTGAGCACGCCTTGTCACTTCACAAAGTGCACCCCAAGTGACGTGGCACCCCTTGTCACTTCACAAAGTGACGATCCTTACATCGGTGACTTCACAACGATCTGCCGTTCGACTTGTACCTTACATCCTTGCTCAGTTGAATACGCGTATTGACTCGTATCGACTCTGTATATCTTAGTGAGCGCCGTTTGTGCCGGCCTGTCTATTTGTATCTGATGAAGACGAGCCATTACCCGAAGCGTCACCTATATTGTTGTTGACGAATGTGCAGCGATGCGGTCGTGTTTATGAACTCGGCAGAGGGCAGTGCACCGAAGTGATTTTTCAGATTGTTCTGATCTCGGCTCTTCCGCCCTCTGCTTTCGTGGCTCGGTAGTGCACTGGCAACCGCGAATTGTACTCACCACAACAACCACAACCAACACAACCACCACCACCGTCCTTACCACTACCACCACGACCAGAACAATAATGCCACCGCCATCCTCCGCACCATGACCATTACTACAACCATAACCACGACTGCGACTGCCATCACAGCGACTAAAGACGAAGACCTCGCGTGTTGCCTCGGACTGTTGGGGCAAGCGCTGTTTGCGAGGAGCACCGAGGAAGGGCGGCGCGCGAGGGGGTGGGTGGCCACCACCACGCCGGGCCGCCTTCGTCTCCCCAGTGGCGATGTTTACACATTACGCCAGGTGCTCATTTGAGGCCTGAGTCGACCTAGGGGAGGCCCAGGAGCGTTTCAGACAATCGTCACCGGTGCTGGTGGCCGCGAGCGGGAATCGAACTCGGGTGGCTGCTCCCCTCCACCCGTGGCTGTGCCCAGAGCTCTGGGCTGCTGCTGGGGCCACGCACATAGCCAGCACATAGCCACCGCATAGCCACCGCATAGCCAGCGCATAGCCACCGCATAGCCAGCGCATAGCCACCACATAGCCAGCGCATAGCCAGCACATAGCCACGCGCATAGCCAGCGCATAGCCACGCGCATAGCCAGCGCATAGCCACCGCATAGCCAGCGCATAGCCACCGCATAGCCAGCGCATAGCCAGCGCATAGCCTGCACATAGCCTGCACATAGCCACCGCATAGCCACCGTATAGCCACACACATAGCCAGCGCATAGCCAGCGCATAGCCACCATATAGCCACCGCATAGCCAGCGCATAGCCAGCGCATATCCTGCACATAGCCACCGCATAGCCACCATATAGCCATCGCATAGCCAGCGCATAGCCTGCACATAGCCACCGTATAGCCACCGCATAGCCAGCGCATAGCCAGCGCATAGCCTGCACATAGCCACCGTATAGCCACCGTATAGCCAGCGCATAGCCAGCGCATATCCTGCACATAGCCACCGTATAGCCACCGCATAGCCAGCGCATAGCCAGCGCATAGCCTGCACATAGCCACCGCATAACCACCGTATAGCCAGCGCATAGCCAGCGCATAGCCTGCACATAGCCTGCACATAGCCACCGCATAGCCACCGCATAGCCTGCACATAGCCAGTACATAGCCACCGCATAGCCACCGCATAGCCACACACATAGCCAGCGCATAGCCACCGCATAGCCACGCACATAGCCAGCGCATAACCACCGCGGCACGGCTGCTGTTAGGGTCGAGAGCAGGGGTCGGTGGACCGTGTTTCGAGGTTCAGGGTTCGAGTCGAGGTGGGTCTCGGTCAGGGGTCGGCAGCCGGCGGCTCTTGAAGACTGTCACGTGATGGTGTTTCTATTCAGGACCGGCTCACATTCACAACGCATTGCGGCTCTTGAAATATTAATGGTTGTTCTACAGAATTACAAATACAATTATTCTTGCTGTTTTGGTTGCTGACCCTTGGTCTAGAGTTAGTTACGTTAAAGGTTAGGGGTGAAGGGTTACTTTACTTTCTGGATTATAAGACGCACTTGTCCATGTGATCGGGGTAGCGTCTGATAATATGGGGTGTCCGTGCGTTGCAAATGATACCAAATTAGTCAAATGTTTACTTTGTATAGCAACTCTGGGGTGGTGGGGGAGGGTGCGGCTTCCTTTACGGAGCGTCTGATAATCGTGATAATCTTGTGAATCTGGGCAGTCGGGCAGTCGTGGTGTGCGGACGCGCGTGTACTCGCGGTCCAGAGAGAGACAGGACACGGGAGGCTCGAAAGAGAAACACAGAACTGTATTTATTACTCTGCACTTCAGCGATCTCACACCGCCTGTCCGCTCTCTCTCCACTCCACAGGTTTAAATTAGGGGGTCCCGCCCCCCTTTAGCCCCCCTGCGCGGGGGAAGGGGGGGACGTAACATTTTCAAGTAACAGTTTCGCTATACGTATTGCTATACACACGTGACATACACGCGCACACACGCGCGGCTGTACGTACACGCAGAGACATGGGTACATACACACATGGGTACATACAGACATGGGTAGATACACTCATCAACATGGGAATAGACACAGACTTGGCGCGCGCACTGCATTGTTAGATGCACACAAACACCAGTACCAATACCCCGCGTCATTAGCCACTGAGTGACAGTGACGTCACCACGGCGCCTGTGCCAGGCTAGGTGCCCCTTAGAGGACACGTGAAGTGTCGAAGGCTCGCTGGCAGGTGGTCTCGGGACAGACCCAGGTGCCATAGGTTGGCTGTCTGAGATGACTGGTAGATGCACCAGCTTTACCCCTACTGTGCCAACTTGCTATATTTTAGCCGCCGGGCGCTCCGCTCGTTGTTGTGAGCGTCGCTCCTCCGCCCTCCGTTGTTGCTGGAGGGCGACTGCCTCCAACTGACCAGTAGCGTCCTTCACGAGCCTCCTCCATCGAGGCCGATATTGACACCGCTGGTACCAGTCATCGGCAAGTCCACTCAGCTCCACATCCTCCCGTACCGCATCACTCCATCTCTGCTCCAGCCCGTTTAGCCCCCTCTATGCGGCCAAACTTAAGCTTCTTGGGCATGCGGTGGCTGGGCATGCGGGCTACGTGACCCAGCACAGGGGTACATACACACATATTGGTGCACAATAGGTGTCAGCACGCAGATATAATACTTACACAGACAGGTACTAACAACGTATGCAGGTCAACACATCATTACCTCGGTAAAGAGGCACACACACTTGCGCGCTGCATTACTAATCCGGCCACCTGAGTTCGAATCCCGGCCACGGCTGACATGAGTGGCGAGTCATAATCCGAACCGGTCGTGCCCCGCTCCACTCCCCGCTTCACCAACCCGCATCTCCCAGCGTGGTGAGGTATGATCACACAACCCATGTGACCAACATGGCGTGGGGAGGCCTTCATCCAGCAGTGGATTATTAAAGTACTATAGTCGTACATTGATACACTCACACACACATACATCGGTACATCCTCCGACTGGTACACACACACACACACGTTGGTTGACACACACGTACACACACACAAACGTACACCGACACACACACGCACACCGACACACACACGCACACAGAGACCAAAAAGACAGACACACATAGACACACATAAGACAGACTCACACAAGACAGACACACACAGATTTAAGCATGGGCACATGCATACACAGAACCCCATGCGCATAAATAAACAGATGGAGATTGAGGCAATTAAATTCTAGCGAAGGAGGCGGGGGGGGGGGGGCAGCCCCCCGGTATTTTGTAACGACTCCATTCATCTAAGTGCAGTACGAATGGAGCAATGGGGGGTGGGGGGTGTAAGGGATGAAGGGAGGGGGGGGGGGGGGCATGGCCCTCATCACCTAGATAACAATATCACACCGCTCCCCCACCTCTTCATCATACTGCTGCTCTTACATTCGCAATATTCTCTGCATCCTGTCCGGACACACGGTTGACATTTCCGTTGATCAGCTATCGGGAGAGACGAGTCCCCGCGTCGTCCCTGTGTGCCCAGGAGCGCGCGCGTGACCTCCTCTTATGCCGAGATGGATGTCTCGACATTCCGCTGCACCGCCGAGATGAAAGGTCAAGCAGGCACTGAAGCCGACGGGGAAATCAAATTACGGGAGGGGGGCAGGGAGCCGGGAGATGATGGAGAGGAGAGTGGGGGTGGGGGGCAGGAGTTAGTGAGCCCCCCGCCCCGCCTCGACTCCCCTTCACACCAGCCACCCACCAATTTTCGTCGCTTTGCGGATCGGTATTGTGCCCATGTTTGTGTTATATCTACTGAACTATAATGCCCTTTATTTACCCACGAGAGTCCCGTGACTCTGTTGTTTTCAAGAGGGTCGTGCTTTGTCGGGATGTTTGGCCAATTCCGTTATTGGCGAGAGTTACATTCTCAGTGTGGGAGATGAAACGGGGAGAACACGGAGACTGCCCGCCCACGCACGTAGCGACTATGCGACAGCCAAAACACTCCGCACAGATGGGTTCATGAACCCACGTGGTGTGGCTGCCACCTTGTGGTCAACAATCCCGCAGCCCAGCGTAGTATGGGAGCTTCACACATCTCCGTGTGATCCACCAACCCTTGCCATCCAAAGCGCCACCACAGCACGGCTCGGCGTTGATTGAGCGTCATGGCCCACCTTCTGGTGCCGGGTGCGGATACAACTCGGGAAACGTTTGCATCTGTGCCGTCGATTGCGGCAGTTCCTCGAGCTACGAGCGACTTGCTTGGCGAGGCACTCGTCTAGCAGTGGATGAATCACGGCTGACGGTGATGGCGCTGCTGAAGTGGCGCTGCTGAAGTGGCACCGCTTTGCTTTGGAGTCTCGCTCGACCCGTTGCGCCCAGGGCGCTCGAATGATCTCCCCCCCCCCAACGCGTCTGCATTGATCTCCGCAGCACAAATCCGCTCGTATATTCAATAACCAAATTATATACGCCGAGAGCAGTGGCGCGGCGGTTAGCACACTGCACTTCGCATCCAGCTGCAGCACGGGTTCGACTCCGGACTGCGGCCAACATTGGCGAGTGGCGAACGGGTGAGATCTGACGCAGTTTTGCGCTCCGCTTCTCCAACCTTAACCCAAAACACGCACCGCTGCTGTCCAATGCGGTGAAGGATGGCCATCCAGCAGTGGATTAACAAAGGGCCCGCCTGTGAATGGTCCTCAATTGGCCACGGTTCCTGAGTTTCGTCGCCCCCCCCCCCCCACCCCGTGTGCACGCGGGTCGTGTGGACGTGAGTCGTGTACCGTCAGAGGGGGTGGATTGAGTCGCCCACTGGCCATGCTCACGCCAGAACCCGGGGCGGGGAAGTGGCTCCAACCAACCAGGAACGTCACGAGCGGCCAAGACGGCAATAAATATAATATCAACACGCAACCATAGTGATAATAAAACTATTAAATAAACATTGTAGTAGGAGGAATAATGCTAGTTTATAAATACTACGCATAAGGCTGTCTTACCTACACTAGATTCACATGCAGAGAGATTAATCTCAGTCGGAGCTGCCCAGGGCTGAAGTTCAGAAGATATTAATTGTCGAGGGGGGGCGGGGGGGGGGGGTTGGCGGGGTGGGATCCGGGAGTTGGGGGGCCCTGGCTGTATTCCATGAGATTAAGCCCTGCGTGCGTGTAAACCAGTCAGCTTAAGTGGGGGGCGGAGGAGGATCGTGCCCTCGGGATGGCTCCACGATTTGTGGAGAGTCCATCTGCATCGGCTGCCCCTCTCTGCGTGTGGTGGTCAGCTGCACAAAGACAACTCAAGAGAAGATCAACCCCAACTTTCTGGAGTGAGTTCCCCACCAAATTAATATTTTCACTTCAGCTGTCTGACGCGGCCGACCACAACCGCAACTTAACGCAATGGGTAGCTTCACTGTGCCGAGCGCCATCGCGAAGACAGAAATGTTCATTTGGACCTCTAGCTGTGAGCTGTGTGACGGTCGGAGAGCGGCCCGTGGAAGGTGATATCACGGAACCGCTTCCGAGGCCCGTTCGGCTGCCTCTGATCCACAAACTCGGCGGCGGTGCCCCCTCTCACTGACGACAGTGGCGCCAGTGACCATCGCACGGAGACCCAAACTGAAATGCGAATTGCTCAGAGCTGGAGACGTGTGCTCCGAATGTTCACGCGGTGGCTTTTCGGGAAAAATGTCCCCGTGAAACCCTGTCTGTCCTGCAGCCCACGCTCACTCGCACACGCGCACACACACACGCACACTCACGCAAAGATCAAGATCCCCCGTATAGCCTTTAACAGACCGTTGGGGGCAAACGCTGTTAGCCAGCACCTATCAAGTCCGACACTGCACACGAGGTCGAGTGGGTGGCCAGCACCACACCCGGCCGTCTTTGTCTCCCCAGTACTAAGGTTTACACACTGCACCAGGCTACTCAGTGAAAGCTGAGTCGACCTCGGAGGAGGTTAAAAAATATCTGCCACCATTATTGGCCGCGAGTGGGAATTGAACTCGGGCCGCCGGGGTTCATTGCGCAGTGTGCTAATCACCGAGCACGCTCCCACTCGCTCGCTCGCTCGCGCACAGACTCACGCTCGCTCGCTCGCGCACAGACTCACGCTCGCTCGCTCGCGCACAGACTCACGCTCGCTCGCTCGCGCACAGACTCACGCTCGCTCGCTCGCGCACAGACTCACGCTCGCTCGCTCGCGCACAGACTCACGCTCGCTCGCTCGCGCACAGACTCACGCTCGCTCGCTCGCGCACAGACTCACGCTCGCTCGCTCGCGCACAGACTCACGCTCGCTCGCTCGCGCACAGACTCACGCTCGCTGCTGTTGTGCCCTTCGCGGCGGAGGAATAGGAACCGTTGTGAAGAGCTTCCGCACGGCCACGCGGTGCGCGGTGGTCGTGCGGCGTGCCGCCATGGCCCCGCGCCGTCCCACCCACGGGCGGCCTCCGGGCGGTGGGCCATCGACTCGGCGCACCGCAGGAGCCGGCTCAACCGCGGGGGCACCGCCAACCACTCGTCCCCGAGTCTGAAATGTGCCCTCTGTTATTAAAGCCGATGCGGATGAACAAGAGGTCTAACGCACACGCTCGCCCACTCTTATACTGGGGCAGTGGGGGGGGGGAGGCTGGTGTAGCGACAGACGCAGTAGCAGCAGCGATTCCCTCCTGCACCACGATAATACTTCATGCGGTTAGGAATTGGCTGTTGTTATAGTTAGCTGAGTTTCGTGAACTGTGGTTGGTTGGGGGAGGGGGGGGGCTCTAGCCCCCCACAACTCACGCTAACAAACAAAGCTTAGTGTCGGTCTGCGCCCGGGGGAGCGGGTGGTGGGATTGGGGGGCCCCGGGCCCCCCGGGATTGTCGAGAGCCATGTGGCCGCTCGCCGAGTCGTCCCCGTCGCTGTCGCTCATCTCCAGGAGATTCTTCTCCTCGGCCGCGCTCCCCCACTCCCTCTGCTCGGGGATTTGGCTCACGCGGAACCTGCGGCGGGAGCGGGGGCAGCGTGGAGTGGTGAACGCGTGGCATGCACACTGTCTACGTACAAACACGCAGTCACACTGCAACACACACTACAACACACACACACGCTACGCAGACAAAGATTCACCAGTCAAAGTGAACGCGCTGTTGGGGCGAGTGCTGTTAGCAAGCCGCTATCGAGGCCGGCACAGCTGATGTTGATTACACATCGCACCAGATACTCATTTGAGGCCAAGCCGACCTAGGGGAGGCTGAGAACCGGTTCAGATATCCGTCACTGTCGTTGGCCGTAGAGCAGTGCGCTGACCACTACACTGCCGCTCCCCACTCGCACACAATTATACAGGACCGCACAGACACTTGAAGCGGCCTCAATCACATTGTTTAGCCACACACACACATGCTCTGATAACGCAGCAGCAGACATACTACCCCATACAATGACACACACACTCTCTGTATATTCAAACACACGGCCCCTAGTATTACACGTCATCGCATACACTACACTAAAAACCCCACCACCTGCGTTCGATTCGGCTCCTGGCAAATGATACCTGAACAAGTCCCCACACACGGAGCCCCCCCTCCCCCTACTGCCCCCCTCCCCCCTCCTGCCCCCCCGCCCCCCTCCTGCCCCTCACCTCCCTCTCCCACCCGTCTCCGTCCCCCCATTCCCGTTAACTCTTTCTCTGCCGCGACCCCCCCACCCACCTTCCCCCCCCCAGTCCCCCCGAACCCCCCCACCCCCTGTCCCCCCGAACCCCCCCACCCACCGTCCCCCGTCCCCGTCCCCACCTGCCGATGGCCTGACCCGCGGCGTCCGCAGGGCGCCCCTGGCGGCTGGGTGTCGTCCTCGCGCCGATTGGGGGGCAGGGGGTCCAGGGCAGCTGTGTCCAGAGCGTGTGGCGGCAGCGCGTGCAGGCGCAGCGCGAGTGCGAGGCGTGCACCGTGTGCGCGTGCAGCCAGCCCGGGGGGGGCGCCTGCTGCTGCTGGTGCTGCTGCTGCTGGTGGTGGTGGTGATGCGGAGGGGGGGAGTGCAGGGGGGACAGCTGGCAGTGCTGCGGAGTCTCGGACGGTGAGCAGAAGCTGCGTGGTTGGGGGGGGGGATACGGGGGAACGATGTTATTAGCCAATCAAACAAGCAGGTGGTGGTTCTAACAATGGGTTAACGATGTGGTGGCTGTGTCGATCAATCAGGGCGCGGAGACGTTTATCGCTTAACAAGCGGCGCACAGAGAGGTGGGTTTGCCAGGACAAAGTCACGGCTTCGACGATTAGTGTGTGTGTGTGCACGCAATCAATTTAGTGGGGTGCAACACGCACGGGTGAGACGAGAGAGACACGTGGGTGAGACGAGAGAGACACGTGGGTGAGATGATTGACAGGTGAATGTGAGATGATTGACAGGTGAATGTGAGATGATTGACAGCTGTAGGTCCCTACCCGCTCGCCATGCTGTCCGTAGTCTCCAGTCGCCCACATTCCATGGCCAAGGCTTGCAGAGCCTCCACGTTTCCTAAACAATAACAACAATAATAATCTAAATAATAACAATTATAACAATACCGTACAATAATAACAATGCAATACAAATTGTTAATATTAATCCGTGCCAGCCCCTACTGTACTGGCACGTGACTTAACGTGTTCTTTATTATTGCGATTGTTCACCCAGGAAAGCCTCGCCGAGTCTCAAGACTATTTATCAAGAGGGTCCTGCCAAATTTGTTTTGCAGTTGACGGTCGCAATGTTGCGAAGGTGCAATGCGTCGTTAGCAGCTGAAGTTCACCACTGGCCAATGCCAGGTTTGGCCAATGCCAGCTAGACTCTCGCCACGCGGTGTCGCATCAGCAGAGTCGGGCCTGCTTATGAGACACCGAACATCAACGCCGGTGCGGGGAGTTTGCTCGTATTAAACCGATGCTGCCGAGACAAAAGTGCACTTCCAGGAGGCAGCGTGAGCTGATGGGATGTGTCAAACAAATGCACACACCACGTCGCTGCGTTCGACCTCCGTCTCTCACCGTTCTTGTGCAGAAAGTATTTCACCAGCTGGCCAATCGTGTCTTCGTTACCGGCGTAGTACTGGGCAGTCGGCAGCAGCAAGCTCGCACCTGGGAAAGCATCATCAGCACCATCAGTGTCAGCATCATCAGCCGTGGCGTAGTAACGACATCAGCACCATCAGTGCCAGCATCATCAGCCGTGGCGTAGTAACGACATCAACCATGACGTAGTAACGACGTTATCAGCTCAGGGGGTGCAATGACCGGGTGGGTGGGGCCCCAATATTTGATTCGTCTCGCACGGTCGCGCCTCGGCTATGATGTATCACGGCTCCTCTTGCCTAATAACATCGTTACATAAGTGTTATTGTTGTTTTCTTACACTGTTGTTGTTGTTCTCTTACACTGTTGTTGTAAACAAATCTTATGGTGGTTATCAAGGGGGGCCCAACTCGTAGCTTTGGCCACCAGGGAGGGCCGAGGCACCCCCTGCCTCCAAGCTCTTTACCGTACTGATCGTCAGTATCGGCAGCAACAGTGGCATCATCATATGATTATTATCAGCAGCAGCAGCAACACCATCAGCAGCATCAATCTCACCATCAATAGCAGTCGCAGAACAAACATGATCAAGGTGCAACCCAGGAGAGGTGATGGCCACCAGCTCCTCATGATCTGTGGCAGCCTACATCATAGGTGCTGGCCAACAGCACTTACCGCTACAGTCTTTGTAGCATCTGGACATGTCTTGGGCCTCCCCGAGGTCAGATCAAAATTAGTACCGTATTTTACGTGCGGGGCGTGAACCACCCCAAGGTGTGTTACACGTTGTGACCGCGAGGGGTCGCGCGACACACGAGTGATGAGCGATGCGAGCAGAACCACTGGGAAGGTCGCCTTGGTGGAGAGGGACCCCCAGTGGCTTCATCCCATTCGGGGTCTTTGACCCAACAATGAACGTTGATAAATCCGCTGACATCCCACCAGCAGTTCCCCCGAGTAGCCTTCACAGACTGTTGGGGCAAGTGCTGCTAGCAGCGAGCAGCACCTGTGATGACCACAAAGTCAGTCGCACGAGGGGGCGGGGTGGCCAGGGCCACGCCCGACCCCCTTTGTCTCCCTCGTGCTCAAGTTGGATACTCAGCGCACCAGGCACTCGTTTAAGGTGGATTCGACGTAGAGGAGGCGCAGCATGACCGGTCCACGCGTGTTCACCCTCGCCGGGAATCGAACCCAGAGGAATCTCTATGGCTGCTGCTACTGTTGTTGTTCCTACGTCGGCCGATCAGCAGCGTCCCTCTTTCTGTGACTGCACACGAAGCGGACGCGCGAGGGCCGCCCACGTGCGGAGGCTGTGGATGCCACGCGATGCTGTGTGGGCAGGAAGCAAGCTGCGGGGTCAGGGTCGGGTCGTCTCAAACACCCGGAGCGGAACCGTGTCCCCTCGCGACGCGCAGCGGCGGAATTCATTAAAGGCGGTGGGGGGTAGGGGGGGGGCTGCGGGGGGGGTCTATCGTCCGCCACCTCCCCCCCCCCCCCCCCCACTTCTTGAGACCCCGCAAAATTGATAACTATTGATCGTTCCTGTATTCCGAATAGATGTTGATCAGTAATTAAGTGGTGTTGCTGCTTCTGCTGCTGCGTTGCAGTGGTGCCAATTTAACCATTCGACAGTTCGTCATCACGGAGTGCGCCGGATGCACTCACGCACTCACCTACTACACTTCAATGAACGTGTGAACACATATTTACTCCACCTCCGAGAGTGCTGCTTGTTGCCAGCCGCTCAGCGTTTAGTTCCTTTGAACTTTTGCTCAAAGAACCCCCCGAGTCCCCCACTGCCCTCCCACAGCTGTCCACAGAACGGGGCCCCCCCACCCACCCACCCCCACCATCCTCCATCCTCCCCCCTCTCCCGCCGGTCCCCATCGCTGCCCTTCCCACACAACACAGACTCCCCGCCCCCACCCACTCATCTTCACTGCATTACATTGCACATTCCCGTGCCGAGGACGAGTCTCTCCAGAGGCTCGGCTAGTTCCTCCGTGGTGGCGGCCCACACTGCACTGTCCCCCACGCGGGGGCCTCTCACCTTCCTTGCAGTCGGCGCCCGCGAGCCCCGAGCCCCCTCCGCCCCCTCCTCCTCCGCCGCCGCCGACGCTCTCCGTGGCGCCGCGGGCCCGGCGCGCCTTGAGCGTGTGGCAGACGAGGACCCCGAGCAGCCCCGTGAGCCCAAACACCGGCACCAGCACGAAGAAGCCGAAGTCGGGCAGGGGTCGCGGGCTCCCCTCCACCACCGCGGCGCTCTCCGATGTCTCGGGGGTCGGGAAGGCCGGCGGGGTCGCCGTGGCCGTGCGGACGCCGGGGCCCGGGGCCCGTGGGGCCGGGGATTCGGTGCCCGCTGTGCTGGCTGACCCGCCGCTCGTGTCGTCTTCCTCTTGCTGCTGATGATGATGATCATGATGATGACGATCATCGCCATGGGTCTGCTGTTGCCGTTCCCCACTGGCCCTGCCTGGTGCTTCCACGGGGTCGTCCTGTAGCCCTGGCAGCTTCCCCCCGCGAGTCCCCGTCCGTGCGACCGCCTCTGTCGACGGGGCAGTGATTATTGTTGGTGATGTCGTGGTCCCTCCTGCGTGGCAGGGAAGGGCAGGGAAGGGCAGGGCAAGGCAAGGCAGTCAGATGAGGGCAGTGCAACAGACCATAAAAATACCATAAACTCGCACGTGAGAACCCCGTTGAATGGCAGGCAGGGGCTGGAACCCAGATTCGAACTCAGAACCCAGATTCGGTCTCAGGATCTCAGCAGTTCAGCATCTCAGCGATGCACCACTCCACTACTCCTCCTAACGCAGTCGTCCGGGTCAACGAACTCGATGTGAAATGGCAACTGTTGTTTTCCATCAACACCTCTTGGCCTTCCTGATCCCTTTGGCCCACGGGACACCCTGTCACGAGCTGTACTTCCCCCAGCACCTGTGCGTGTCACAGTCCCCATTGTGTGTGGGTGAAGCCCTTTCTCTCTGTGGACCACAATTAACTCCGGCTCACGCCACGTGGCTCTCAGGGTAGTAATTACCCCCAGCCCGCCCCTCATCTCCCGTGCGTGTCAAGCGGCGGCGCTCCCCGTGGGGCGCGCCACGGCCGTCGTGCTGAGCGCTCGCACGGCAGCCGGAGCCGACGAGGAAATAATAGCAACAAAAACAACAACAGTGGCCACAAAAACAACAACAGTGGCGACAACAATACTCGTACTCCTAATAATGATGACGATGACCAACCCGCGGACGTTCGCGCTGACAGCAGCAGCAGCAACCCCCATTCAGGCTGTCGCGGGCACGTCGATGGCATTAAGTGATGACGCAGCTCCCAGCAGCCGGCACATTGCACCGCACCCTGCACTGGGTTGGGCACGCGGAGTTCTCGCACGCTCGGCGGCTCACCGGCACTGCTTTAAGCGTTGCCTGACTCTGCTGATGGGACACTGGGTGTCGAGGCCGGTCCACACTTTTGCTTGTGCTGAATCAACGTAGCTGAAAGTGCGCACTCCCAGAAGGCCGTGGGGCTGATGGGTTGCGTAGGAAAGACTTTTATTTAGCTCATGCGGAGAGACCGGGCTTACATGTGTACGTGACGTGATGCTTCTTTTGATTGACGAGTGAATCATTGTCACATTCCATTTCCTACGCTTGCGGCATTTGGAGGTGCCGTGTATTGTGTCCAGGATGTGGAATGAGACATCGCAGGACCTTGGTGGTGGGGAGGGGAGGAGGTGGAGCGGGGAGGGGCAGGTGGCCTTCATGCAGCAGTGGATGGGCGATGGATGATTATAATTGCGGTGGTCTTGATGATGATGACGACCACGACGTATTAAACATCATGAAGCCTGACTAACTGATGATGATGATGTGACGATGAAGTCACGATGGTGGTGATGGTGTAATTATGAAGGTGATGTGACGGCGGCGTGATGACGAGGTGACGATGAGATGATGAAGCGACCACGACGACGATGATGGCTGTGTGATGAGGGGGCGTTCTCGAGGTGGTTGTGCTCTGCTCGTGACGCATTCGCCTGGCGCGACGGGGAGGGCGGGCAGGGAGGGGGGGTTGTGAATTATTGAGCGGCGCGCGGACTCGGAGCGGGCGGCTTGACGCTGCCTGCTCACGTGACTTAGCGAGCCCTCATCATCGTCGTCATCGTCGTTTTAGGAACTCATCATCAACATTATCCCCGCACCTTCGATTGGCTACGTACTGTGCAAAAGAAGTTCAACATACATACATCCGAGGAGCCCAAAACCACTATCATGATCCATCATCATTAGCATTATCAATTAGTCTATCATCATCATGATTCTTCGGTCATCATTATAATCAGCGTGTGCGGCTATTTGTCAATCCCAATCCACTGCTGGATGAGGATCTCCCCGCACCGCGCGAGGGGTGCGGGTTCATTTGCGCACTCTCCGACCTCAATAGGTGCTCGCTCACAGCACTTGCCCCGGCACCCTGCCGCGTCCCTTCATCCACCTCCCCCACAATGGATCTCGACTCATCCTCAATCGCGACCGCACAGGCACACACACTGTGTGTCGTGGGCACGATGTGATGACACTGTGTGTGTGTTTTTGCGGAACGCAGCAAAACGTTGAAGGTCGTGGCTCGTCTCGTTCACAGCCGGCACGGCCGCCCTCCCCCTTTCCCCAACTTGGTAGAGCCCCCCTCACAATGAACGTGGTCACCAGTCGGGGCAGGGAGGTGGGAGGGAGCGGGTGGAGTTGCTTGGCCCAGAGATACTGTTTGTGGTCCCCTCCCCATTCGGTGGAATGAACTCTCCGTGAGATGGCAAGAGATGTAGAGACGGGGGATCGATACGTAGCGCGACGGGGGAGATCCGGGCAAGAGAAATGGCGATGTAGCGAGGTGAGGGACAAGGGAAGCGGACGTTGTGATGTTTGTTCAGATTCGAATTCGAGCTGATATATTTGCTTCGCCCATATGTTTGTGTCACGAAGCCGGGGCCCCTTGTCCAGGCTTGGGCCCTGCGTGGCCTTGGACCCGGTAACTACCGCGCTCGCGTCAACTTGAATCTGAGGAGCAGGAGGACGAGGAGGAGGGAGTTGACAAAGTCGGGCCGGACTGAGCGAGTTTGGGGCAGAGAGGGGTTGATTGAGAAGGGACCTGCGGGGGGAGCGGTCATGTGGAAACGACGAGGCGAGCGCCGTGCAGATGGAACCAGCTCAGAGGGGAGGGGTGGGCACAGGGCGTCCGTGTGGCCCGTAAACACACAGACACACACAGACACACGCACGGAGTAAACAAACACACGCGGAACACAACAAAGACAAAGATCCCCCGCATAGCCTTCAACAGGCGTTTGGGGCAAGTGCTGTTCGCGAGCACCTAGGAAGGTTGGGACAGCGCACGAGGCAGTGGTGTGGACAGCACCATTCCCGGTCGCGTTTTTTGTCTTCTTGCCAGCCGATGTTTGACCATCGCACGAGGTGCTCATTGAAGGCTGTCTCGACCTCGGAGGAGGCCCTGGACCTGATCAGAGATTCGCCACCGATCTTGACCATGAGGGGGAATCAAACTCGGGAGAGGGAAGAGAGGAGGACAAGAATGTGAGGCGAGAGGGGAAGGGATGAGGAAGGAGCGGGGAAACTGGAGCCAAGGGTCAGGAGAGACGAGGGGCGAGGGAAGAGGCTGCGTCAGGGTCTCGGCGCTGCTGCTGCAAGAAGGAGCAGCGTCTGTTTTCACAGGGGGCGGGGCGGGGGGAGAGGGGAGGGGTTTAGAGTGGCGGTGGCCACGCAGAAGCCACGTGATTCACGGGAGTCTCCAGCTGAGACAGAGAGAGATATATTATCTTATTTTTGGCTTGATTTTGTGAGACCTTGGATGACCACATCAACTTTCCACCGAGGCCTTGTGGACAATACACGCACACGTGTGGACATGTAAACACGCACGCAGAGCGGCCACAGCTCGCATGACAGACGCATCCCCCAGTGTCCTCAACTCCGCGAGGTGACGACTCACTCGGAATGATGATTATGATGATCATCATTATGATTGTTTAAAGATATTTAATCTCCGTCCACAATTGTATCACTCCGTGTCACATGTGACAGGGCAACGCAACACCGCAACACGTGTTTGAAAAGGGCCGTGTAAGCGGATATCCTAGAACTGCCTCTGGGATTTTTCCTTTAAGTCGCCCGCGTTCCGCACAGCACGGGAGCAGCTCCCCCCCCTCCCCCACGTTTCACGACACTTTAATGGTCGTTGTGTGACACGAATCAAGGCGATATTTTGAGGCCTCGGAGATGAGTTTTCGTGGAAATGTAAGTGCAGAACGAAACTGCACGGTGGGGGGTTTATTGTCAGGGCTGAGACCATCGAGACGCAATGCTCGAGAACCCGGCTCCACCACAGCTCGGTAGACACGTGTCGATGTGTCCATACACGTGTCGATGTGTCCCTACATGTGTCCGTGGGTCACTGCACGTGTCTGTGGGTCACTACACGTGTCTGTGGGTCACTACACGTGTCGATGTGTCCCTACACGTGTCGATGTGTCCCTACACGTGTCTATGTGGGTCTACACGTGTCCGTGGGTCACTGCACGTGTCTGTGGGTCACTACACGTGTCCGTGGGTCACTACACGTGTCTGTGGGTCACTACACGTGTCTATGGGTCACTGCGCGTGTCTGTGGGTCACTGCGCGTGTCGATGTGTCCCTACACGTGTCTGTGGGTCACTGCGCGTGTCTGTGGGTCATTGTGCGCGTGTCTGTGGTCACTGCGCGTGTCGATGTGTCCCTACACGTGTCTGTGGGTCACTGCGCGTGTCTGTGGGTCACTGCGCGTGTCGATGTGTCCCTACACGTGTCTGTGGGTCACTGCGCGTGTCTGTGGGTCACTGCGCGTGTCGATGTGTCCCTACACGTGTCTGTGGGTCACTGCGCGTGTCTGTGGGTCACTGCGCGTGTCGATGTGTCCCTACACGTGTCTGTGGGTCACTGCGCGTGTCTGTGGGTCACTGCGCGTGTCGATGTGTCCCTACACGTGTCTGTGGGTCACTGCGCGTGTCTGTGTGTCCCTACACGTGTCTATGGGTCACTACACGTGTCTGTGGGTCACTGCGCGTGTCTATGTGTCCCTACACGTGTCTGTGGGTCACTGCGCGTGTCTATGCAAGTCTGAGGAGGATCTGTATGGAACGTGCGTGCCGTCTCCATGCGAGCCCACGGGTCTCTCTCTACGCATGTCCGTGCCCCTCCATGGTAGCCACTCCTCGCAGGACTGAGACCATCAGCTCACTCTGCCTGACAAGGCGGCTTACCCACGGGCAGTGGATGAGACCTGGATTCGAACCCAGGCTCTGAGTGGGGCCGGCTCAGGGTCTGTGACTTCTCTGACGACTCTGTTCGACCATACTTCACCATGCTGGTCAAGGGCACAGAAGTAGCGCACTGCCCTTTGCTGACCACAGCCGTAGCCCCGCAGCAGCCTATAGCACCTGTTATGCACTGTGGTCGAAGCAGACGAGCGACCATACAGGCTTGAACCTGCTTAGCTTGCACGTTCCACGGCGACTTGGTCCACACAGTCGGGCTGTGTTGGCACAGCCGGGTTGGGTGGAATCTGGGATTGAACCCAAGAATTCAAACTCAGTAGTAGCCAATAGGCACTTGTGTGTGTGTGTGTGGGACGAACGGCTTCTGGCTGCCAACACGTGACACGTTCAGCCACAAACCACGGGCAGCGATATCAGCTCCAGACACACATCCCCACACTCACCACACTCACCTGTACACTCACCACACACACTCACCACACTACCGCTCACACCGTATAGGCATGTATTCACACTCAGCAGTCAAACTCACTCACCCACTCATACCACGTACACACCACACTGACCATTCAAACAGTGTATGCAGTACAATACACATCTGACCACACTCACCACTCAACCACAGCCCCACACACTCACCACCTACTCACCATTCACACAGGCTATACGACGCACCAACAGACTCACACTCCCTGTACTCGACAGTTCCCACCCCCACTTCCCGTGCGGTCCCATACCTCCCCCCCACCTCCTCCCCTCTCCCCACCTCCTCCCCACCACCTCCTCCCATACCCTCCACCTCCTCCCCTCCCCCCACCTCCTCCTCTCCCCAACCTCCTCCCACCCCATCTCCTCCCCTCCCCCCACCTCCACCCCCTGCCCACTCCCCTCTCCCCACTAAACCTTAAATCCCCCAGGGCAGCAGAGGGCATCGCCCTTTCCCCCTGCCCCTCCCTCCCCCCTCCACATTCACAGCTGCGCTCCCCTCCCCGCACCAACACACGCGTCCGTGCGTGAGATAGAATTGTGGGGAGCGGTGGCGCCACAGTTAGCGCACTGCACTACGAGCCCGGCCACACAAGTTCCATTCCCGGCCAGGGCTAACTTGAGATGCACGTAAGTGATATTAGAACCGGTCCTGAGCCACCGCGAAGTCGACTCAGCCTCAAGTAGCTGGTGCAGTATGTAAACATCGGCACTGGGGAGACAAAGGCGGCCGGGTGTGGTACAGTACTGGCCACACCACCCATTCGTGCGCCGTGCCAATTTTCATCGGTGCTCGCCAACAACACTTGCCCCGACAGCCTCGTGTGGGCTACACGGGGGATCTTTGCTGGGGTGCGGGGTGGTGCGGAGGGGGGGGGGGTTCAGGGGTCACGGGACTGACCGTCACACGCGGCCGTTCCGGCGGGGGCGGCGCTGCAGGGCGAGCACGGCACTGGGGGGCTCGCGTCTCCTGCCTCCCCAGGACTGAAGAACCTGCACCACGTGAATTGGGGGGGGGGGTCATCAGCTGAACTCTCAGGCCCCATGAACTGGGCGCCAGCCTCACGCTCCGTGCCACGTGCTCGCCACTCGACGCTTTAATAGAAAATAATTCTGCTTCGCACGGCTGATGTGGAGCAACAACTGTGACTTTACATCGCGGTGGTCGATGAGCCAGACAATTGTGGTGACTCATCGCTGTCGTGATGATGCCTCCTCATCCGTATTTGCGAAACGCGCACCAGAACAGAACCCCGTGGTTCTGTTCCCGTGGCGAGTAACATTGCTTACACGTGGGACTCAAAAGGGGCCATTTCCCTCCTCACGTGGCCACGTTCTCGCCCTGACCCTACCCTCACCCCGACCCTACCCTCACCCCGACCCAGACACCGTGATAATCGTGCACACGTGACACGTCTGGGCTGTGTGGAGGCGTCACTGATGACGCTCATTCCACGTGGATGAGCCCAGCTCCTCACCACGAGACGTGCACGGGCACAGCGACTTCAGCTCGAACGCACACGGCACCCAACCAAGACTAAGACCTCCCGTGGAGCCTTAACAGGCTATTGAGGCAAGTGCTGTAAGCGAGCGCCTATGAAGGCCGACACGGCACATGAGCGGGCGAGTGGCGAGCACCACGTCTGTACGCCTTTGTCTCCCCAGGGGCGATGTTTACACAAAGCGCCAGGTACTCATTTGAGGCTGAGTCGACCTAGTGGAGGCTCAGAAACGATTCATATAATCGTCACTCGTGTTGGTGGCGCAGACACGCAGACACGCACACGTGCATCCCCGGCCAGGTAAGATGTGCACCACAGTCAGTAGCGTAACAACCAGTGCCTGGTGCCAGGCTAGGTGCACGCACAAACACACACACACGCGCGCGTACCCGGGTAGGCACGGGCCGCACTCGCTGTCGGCCGTCATGGACCCGCGCTTGCGCTCGCTCCGCGAGAGACGTCCCGCGCAGGCCGCGTGGGGCACGCACGGTGCCGTGCCCGCCGCTGAGAAAGTGCCCTGGGGGCATGGCCGGCAACCGAGGCCCAGTCCTCCACGTCCCGCGCCGCACTCCTACACGGGCAACGAGGGGCAGCCGTGGCGGGGGCAAGGGGCAGGGAGCAGCACGTCCGTGAGTGTGGAAGCCATCAATAAGGATGGGCTCACAGGGTTCATTCGGCCTTCGAGTCTTGAGACTCTGCGAGAGGTTTCCCCACGAGTAAATGCGCACGCGTCTATATTGTCACTCCGCTGCTGGATGAGGTCCTCCCCCCCTGCCACCCCGTGTGGGTCGTGGAGGCTGATTGAGCATACTTCACCACGGATAAATAATAATTCAAATTATTAATGCGGCATTCCATCCTAGGATCCCCATGCGCAATGCATGAAGAGCAGGAAGCAAACACAGAACCAGGAGCAACCGACCAAGCGAGAGAGGGAAGGCCACTTGAAAGCGATGGGGTTTCAAAGCAGACTTCAATCGATCTACCGACTGTGATTGCCCGAATTCAAGTGACGAGGCGTTCCACAGCTTGTGGGTGCCACGCTACAAAAGCCCGATCACGAAAAGAGCGCAACCTCGACCTGGGAGTGCTGAGCAGTTGGAGATCAGAATATCTTAAGCACCTTGATGGAAGCTATAAATGTGTTAGCTCCTGCAAGTAATGCGGGGTGAGCCCTTTTAAAGCCTTATAGGTTCATAGCAGTATCCTAAAATTCACTCGAAATTTGACTGGCAGCCAATGAAGAGATAAGAGTACCGGCGTAATGTGCTCACGTTCACGGTGTACGTGGTGTAAGCACTCTCGCAGCTGCATTCTGAACAAGCTGGAGTCTGCCCACGACTTTGCTCGGAATCCCCAACCAGTGAGAGGTTGCAGTAGTCGAGTCGGGACAACACAAAAGCATGGACCAGTCTCTCCAAGTCAGCAGGTGACAGGAAGCGATGGATTCTGGCGATATTTCTCAGGTGTAAAAAGGACATTTTAAGCACCTTAGATAGATGTGCCTCAATGGACATTGACTGGTCAAACTGAACTCCAAGGTTTTCTTTGGGACTGACAAAGTGACCATCAATCAACAAACGAGGCCAACAAACTTTAGAAAGATGCAAAGGGGAGTCGATGAATATGGCTTCAGTCTTGTCGGAATTGAGTCGCAAAAGGTGTTAGCGCAAGTATGAATTCACTACTGTTAGTGATGCAGATAGCGCAGAAGCCGTTGCATAGTCCGGTCTAACTGGATATTAATTTGAGTATCATCTGCAAAGCAATGGTAGGATAAGGCAAGGTGTTGGAGCAGAATACCCAATGGTGCCATGTAGAAGCTAAAAGGTTAAGCACCTAGCACTGATCCCTGCGAAACACCACAGAGAACCGGTCTAATGGGGGCACGATTGTGAATGATCATTTTATGGTGATGTCTGTAACGATCCAGCAGTGGTACCACCGGGTATGTGACATCCGCAGGAGGATCCACATGACGCCTGCCCATGCCACGCAATGGCTGGCTTGGTCTGGCTCATCCCCATCATCAGCAACAGCAGCTATGATGTATCTGCTGCTGGATCAAGTCCCATCCCCAACCACCCCCCCCCAAACTGTTGCCATCTTTGAGGTTCCTGCGACGTCGCGATCTATCTGGAAAGTGCCGCATGTGGAATGCGTTCTATTGGCCATGCGTGTGCCGTACCACTGACGATGTCACGTGCTCGTTAACCCAGAAGAGCATCACCGAGTCCCAAGACTCTTTTGGCAAGAGGGTCCTGCTACATTTGGATGTTTGGCCAATTCCTTATATTATTTTAAAATAAGCATTGTCCAAGGTTCACGTTTGTTTTGATGAATTGGGTGAAGATGCAAGGGACCAGGATGGGGTCTTATTGTCAACAGTGAGTGAGTGAATGAGTGTGTGGGAGAACGAGTGAGTGGGTGAATCAATGGGGCGAGTGAGATGGTGGGTGAGCGGGTAAGTAATAGAGTTGGATGACGTGAGAGCGAGTTCAGATGCCAAGTTGATTTTGTTGTAGACCAGGTGAGAACTCGAGAGACGGGGACGGATCCACGTTTGCGAAAGTGACGCGACTTCCACTTCGAGTGGCAAAAAAACCCCAGAGCCAGAATGACCCCCCAGCCACGCACACAAAGACACTCACTGGTGGAGTTGAACAAACGTCCCAATACAGGACCACAGAGCTTGGGACATTTTGCTAGCGCCAGCTGCGGCTGCCATCCCGAGCACCCGTCTGCGCCGCGTCACGGATTCTACCGCGGGGTTCTGATCGGCCGCAAGTTGAACGAACGGCACCGATTAACAATGAAACATCGTTACAACTTCGTTATTGTTACGCAAGGTGACAGCGCTCAGAGGGTCACACAGGTGGGTTAGCGAAACCCACTTTCTGTACTGCCACTCACCTGGTCAAGCTCCTGCCCGGGGGGGCAGCGTGGGCAGGGGGCGCAGGTCCCATGGGGGTCCCGGTACTCGTGCTTGGCACAAGGGGCAGGGAGGGGCAGTGCCGGGGGCAGCCCCATCACCTTAGGGGGGGGGGGGTGCAGGGGATCTCATTAATCAGCCACCAAGCCCGGAGGCCACGGCTCACCCCACTCACTCGCTCACCGGCGGTCAATCGCCCCCGTGTCACTCTTCTCTCGCTACTAACGTAGTTACCGCTCCTGTCGACATCACTCACTGATGCCTTACTGCGGGTGAATGGAGCGCACACGTGGCGGCTGAACAGTAAGATTCCGAGAGTGTGCATGCTTCATCTGATGGGACCACTGCCCTGGAGGAAGAGACACCCTGCACGAGGGGACGGTCTGGCCTTTGTCGGAAACAGCGCAGTGAGCCCTGCAGCACCACACCAATGCTGAACTCGAGGTTGTTGTTGTTGTGGTGGTTGTGGTGGTGGTTGTGGTGGTGGTGGTGACACGTACCACGAGTAGACACGACACCGCGGGCAGGTAGAGGTAAAGGTGGCTCGGCTTCGTCCGCATCCTCACGACCCTCGCCTGACATCCGACCTATGAGGGCAGCACGGCCAGATAAGGGCAGCGGGGGTAGATAAGGGCAGCGGGGGCAGGGCTTGTTTACGGATGCGTTGACAGCGATGACGACAGCGATGGTGGCGATATCCCGCGATGGAGGAGCGTGCGCTATGGGAGCGCGGGCTTGCGACACCACTCAGATGCCATCCCCGTTGCTCAACGGGGACCTCCCCCCAGGCCTCGCTGCGTGGACTCGACACGACGCGAGGTGGTAAACAGAGGGAGCGAATCCAATTCGCGTGGTTCCATCTCTCCTTGGGACGTCCTGGCTGCTGCCACGCGCCACCGCTCAGCCTGACGCATATTGAACGGTCCGAGTCAAGGTTCGGGGTAGAGTGATGCTGAGGGTCTGGGGTTATGTCTAGGTTGTGACTACGGGTAGGGTCGGTTAGGGCAAGGGTAGAAGTTTGTGGAATAAAGTTTGGTCTAGATCTGGCTGTATTTATGTTGAACCTCTTTCGCACCATACGTACCAACCGTGGTAATCGGGGGTGCGGTATAGGGCTAAGGTTCAGGCTAGGTTTGTGGTTCGAACGAGTGTTGTGGTAGGGATAGTGTTGGGGCTAATGTTAGGGCTAGCATTCGGTTTAAGGGATTGGCTTATGGCTAGGGGTTGGGTTGGCATTTAACACTCGAGTTAGGGAAAGAGCTCGGGTCAGTGTTAAGACTGAGTTAGGTCTCACGGTGGCGTTAGGGTCAGGGTTAGATTTGGGTTCGGGCTCTACTCTCTGGTTCGTGGTAATTATTTTGGAGAGGTCAGGGGGCTCGGACCAGCATTCTAGTTAGGGGCACGGTCAGGGCTCGCGTGAGGGCAATGGCGAGCTCGGGTTATGGTGACGACTCGCTCGATACAGGGGCTAGGGTTAGGGGCTAGGGTCAAGGGTCAGAGGCTAGGGGCTAGGGTTAGGGGGCTAGGGTCAAGGGTCAGAGGCTAGAGGCTAGGGTCACGGGCTAGGGTCAAGGGCTAGGGTCAATGGTCAGGGGCTAGGGTTAGGGGCTAGGGTTAGGGACTAGGGTCAAGGGCTATGGTCAAGGGTCAGGGGCTAGGGTCAGGGGCTAGGGTCAGGGGCTAGGGGTCGGGGCTAGGGTCAATGGTTAGGGTCAGGGGCTAGGGGCAAGGGTCAGAGGCAAAGGTCGGAGCTGTGAGCCCCGCGAGTTGGTGATCGCGATGTCCCCATCACCAATGAGCGACGGGAGTCACGTGAGACGATATCGCACTGCTGGCGACAGCGCGGAACTCCGTGATGGCAGAGCGGGGTGTCACGCGGGGAAGGCATGGCAAAGCGATGATGGGGGGGGAGGTGGAGATGGGATTGGGTGGAGGAGCGAGTTGGAAGCGTGGGGGGAGGGTATGACAGATGGGGAGAGAGAGGGGGGGGGGGAGAGAGAGAGAGAGAAAGCGATGAGAGCTCAGGGAGGGAGAGAATAGGGGTGGCCACCCACGTGGGTGTGTGTTGGTGCATTTGCTCCAACGGTCTGTTAGGGCTGTACGGGGACCTTTGTTTGTTTTGTTGTGCACGTGGTCCGCGTCTGATCGGAACCTGAAGCAGACTCTACTCACAGAGGTCCAGACTCATAAAGAGACCCATAGACTCACACAGAGACCCACAAACTCACACAGAGACCCATAGACTCACACAGAGACCCACAGTCTCACACAGAGACCCATAGACTCACACAGAGACCCACAGTCTCACACAGAGACCCACAGACCCCATGCCCCTGCTCAACTCCATGCAGAATGAACACTTCCCTTGTTTGCTCTACAAAATACACAACATTGTATCCTGATGCATAGACTCGCGCAGAGACCCAGACCCTTAGAGTCACACAGAGGCGCAGACTCGCACAGAAACCCGAAGTTTTGCATAGAGACCTATGACCGTGTGCCTTTCCCGACATAAGAAACATGCCGAGCGGCTGAGTGCCGCGTCTGGAGACGACGTTGTATAAATCCGCCGGGCTGAATTGCCGAGGCTCACGGTGCCAGACTCAGGCTCACCGAGAGGGGCTCGTACATCCAGAGGGAGGTGATACCTGAGCCAATGCTGGAAATTCCACATGAACATGGCCAATGGGAGTGTGTCCGCAATCATCCCACAAAGCCAGCCACTGAGCCCTGACGCTCTCCGGTGCCAGACTCTAGGAAACTTTACACCACTCATGCAAATTAAACTGCTCTCTGTCTCAGCGGGGGGGGGGGGGGGGGGGGGGGGAGCATGGGTGGGGGTTGCGGGCAGATGGCTCCGGGATCGAACCGTTGTCCTTTTTATTTGGAGGCGATCGCAGAGCCGCGCTGTTGCATCGCAAGCACCGAGCTGGAGCACAAGGGCGATGCTGGTGGCAATGGGTTCAAGCCGTGGCGCAGTGGTTCGCGCTGCAGCACTGCGCTATGAACCCGGTGAACCGAGAGCAATTCCCGCTCGCGACCAACAACACTGACGAATAGTTGAAGCTGTCCTGGGCTTCCCCTAGGTCGGCTCAACCTCAAACTGACATTTACACACCGCACGTCGGGGAGACAAAGACGGCTGGGCGTAGCCTTGAATACCCACTCCAGCGTGTGCCGTGCCGCCTATCATAGGGGCTCGCTAACAGCACTTGCCCCAACAGTCTGTTCAAGGCTACACGGGGGATCTTCGTCTTTGTGTGTGTGGGTAATGAGAATCCATGGCGCAGTGGTGAGCGCATTGCGCCACGAACCCATCAACCTCGACTCAAGTCTCAACCACGGGCGACGGTTATGCGCCTCCTCTAGATCAACTCAGCCTTAAACGAATACCAGTGTGGTGTTGGTTCAATGTGTAAGCATCAGCGCTGGCGATCGCTAGCGGTGCTGGCCACACCGTCCCGACCGAAACAGGTGCTCGCGAACAGCACATGCCCCAACAGTCTGTTTAGGCTATACGGGGTATCTTTGCCTTTGTATGTAAGTTTACATGTATTATTTGTGTCCTGTGTATGTGCACTATACATGTACACGTGTGTAACTGTGCATGTACGCGTGCCTTTGTGTATGCGTTCATCTCCACCGCGGTCTTCCAAATCACAGCGCGTGGCTGAATGCCGCATCGTGCCGTGCCGCGGCTCGGACTGACGCCTCGAGCCAGAACCACTGCCGGGCACCGCGTGACTCACCCGGCTGCATCAGCCGGTGGCGGCACGCCGAGCCCGTCCAGCCAGATACGTGTCTCGTGCCTTTGTCTCCCCATGGCCCCGTTGCCGTGTCTCTCTGTGTCTCTGTGTGTCTCTGTGTCTTTGTGTGTCTCAGTGTCTTTGTGTGTCTCAGTGTGTCTCTGTCTCTCAGTGTGTCTCTGTGTCTCATTGTGTCTCACAGTGTCTCAGTGTGTCTCAGTGTGTCTCACTGTGTCTCACTGTGTCTCACTGTGTCTGTGTCTCAGTGTGTCTCTGTGTCTCAGTGCGTCTGTGTCTCAGTGTGTCTCTGTGTCTCAGTGTGTCTCACTCTGTCACTGGGTCTCTGTGTGTATCAGTGTCTCAGTGTCACTGTGTCACTGTGTCACTGTGTCTCTGTGTGTCTCTGTGTCTCAGTGTGTCTCTGTGTCTCAGTGTGTCTCTGTGTGTCTCTGTGTGTCTCTGTGTCTCAGTGTGTCTCTGTGTGTCTCACTGTGTCTCACTGTCTCTGTGTGTCTCTCTGTGTCTCTGTGTCTCACTGTGTCTCTGTGTCTCAGTGTGTCTCTGTGTCTCAGTGTGTATCTGTGTCTCACTGTGTCACTGTGTCTCAGTGTGTCTCTGTGTCTCAGTGTCTCGCTGTGTCTTTCTATGCCCGTGTCCCCATGCGTCTACGTCCCAGTGTGTCTCTGTCCGTCTCTCCGTGTCTATGTGTCGCTGTGTCTCTCTATCTTAGTGTCCGCGTGTCCCTGGTTCTCCGTGTCTCCCCTCGTCTCCCCGTGTCTCTGTATCCGCGTAGCGTGCCAGTGTCTCCGTGTTTCTCCTCGCGTCCCCGTGTCTCTGTATCCGCGTCGCGTGCCAGTGTCTCCGTGTTTCTCCTCGCGTCCCCGTGTCTCTGTATCCGCGTAGCGTGCCAGTGTCTCCGTGTCTCTCCTCGCGTCCCCGTGTCTCTGTATCCGCGTAGCGTGCCAGTGTCTCCGTGTCTCACTCCCAGCTCGGAACCTCATCCACGACCACTGCGCCACGTGCACAGGGGTCCTCAATCACCGCCATTCATCATCAACACAAACTCATCACCATCACCATCATTACCATCATCACCATCAACACGTCTCTCCTCCTCCTCGTCACTCACCCTGCTCCTCGGACTCCGCAGAGCCTCGCTCCGCGGCGCGACTCCTCCGACTCTCCCGACTCCCCGGCCCCGTCTCTCCGTCTCTTCCACCGTCTCTCCCTCGCTCCCCGCCTCTCTCGGTCACTCCGCGGGTCTCTCTCTCTCTCTCTCTGCGCGTCTCTCCCCGCGTATCTCTCTCTCTGCTCGTCTCTCCCCGCGTGTCTCTCTCTGCGCGTCTCTCCCCGCGTGTCTCTCTCTGCTCGTCTCTCAAACGCGTGTCTCTCTCTCTCTGCTCGTCTCCCCGCGTGTCTCTCTCTGCGCGTCTCTCCCCGCGTGTCTCTCTCTCTCTCTGCTCGTCTCCCTCCCTGTTTCTCCCTGCGTGTCTCCTCGCTTCTCTCTCTACGTTTAGATCTCTCCCCTGCTCTCTCCCCGGGTCTCTTTCGTCTGCCTGCTCTCTTCTCTCTCTCTCTCGCTCTGTCTGTCGCTTTGTGCCGGGTGCCGGGTGTTGGATGAAGCGTGGTGGAGGGGAGGGGAGAGCGGACGTGAGGGGGAGGGGGGAAGGGGGGAAAGGGGGGGAGGGGGGAAAGGCGGGGAGGGGGGAAAGGGGGGTAGGGTGGAAAGGGGGGAGGGGGGAAAGGGGGGAGGGGGAAATGGGAGTGACGTGTTTTTTTGTGGCGTAGTGACGTAACGCGTCGGACGTGCGTGACTGGCCGGAGCGCGCGCGTCTGCACAGTGACGTGAAAAAGACAAAGACTCCCCGTATAGGCTACACAGGCTTACGGGGCAAGTGCTACTATGCGAGCACTTATCTGGGCCGATACAGCACAGGAGGGGGTGAGTGGCACACACTGCACGAGGTCGTCATTCGAGGCTGAGTTGACCTACGGGAGGCCCAGGACCGGTTCAGATAATCGTCACCGGTGATGGCCGTGAGCGGAATGGACCTCGGTTTGCCGAGTTGGAAGCACAGCGTGCTAACCACCGCACCACCGCTCCCCACCCATAGTACCGACATTGTACACACTGGCGCATGATGACGTCTCTCAGGGGTGGGGGGGGGGGGATTCCACCACAACCGCGCGCCTTTTATTCCCGTCCCAGGGTGAGGCTGGCGCCACTTGCCTGCGTGTCGCCCTCGTGGCCCAACGCCCCAAGCTTCTCTTTCCTCCCTCTCGCAACCACGAGAGGTCCCCAGCGCAACCATCAACTCCTCGATACAATAACAATAATAATAAAATAATCCCGCTCCCCTGGATCTCCTGGTAGCCCGCGCTCTCACGAATTGCGCTGAGGAATTCGCAGTCGAGTAAGTCCTCGTTTAACGCAGTAGATGCGTTCCTGAAAAGTGCCGCGTTCAGCGAAAAACGCTTTAAGCGAAAAAAATTCCCCAAAAATAATGTAGTGGTGAAGTTTGGCGACAACTACGACAAGTACGACGCACACACAGCGAGACGACGGGACAAGTAACTGAGGGAACGCAGATTGTGTCGCACCGCTCAGCCGCGCTGCTCCAAAAAGTACTTCGTCGTCAGCCGCTCAGAAACCGCGTTATAACGGAGCACGTCCCGTATTGTGCGGCAAGTGTTCCTGAATGGAAGAAACACGTTATAGGGGCCGTCCATAATTGACGTCACGCGATTTTGGACAATTTTTGACCCCCCCCCCACCCTCGTCACACAGCGTTACGAAAAGTCAGACCCCCCCCCCCTGAAATATGACGTCACATAGCTCTGCCCCCCCCCCCCCAAAATAAAACATGCTTCAAATCGCTTTAAACTATTGTCATTGTAGTGCGTATTTAATGTAGCGCTGCACTCTGATTTTGTAGAAGAAAACATTGATTAAAAAGTCTATTTAATTAAGTGTTGTCTATATTCATTTAAAGTTGCGCATTTTGATGTGACGTCACATTTCTCACCCCCCCCCCCTCGTCACACATCGTCACAAATGTCCGACCCCCCCCCCCCCTTTGGTGCGTGACGTCATTTATGGACGGCCCCATAGCGAAAATGCGTAATCGCGTGGACACCGCTTGTTGAACGAGGACTCGCCGTCATGTATCCTCACCTCGTCCTTTGCCTCCTTCCAGTCCGTTCCCGTCCCTCAGTCGCTGAAATTGGGAGTGAGTCCGCTACTAAAAACATCCGTCACTCCGATCGCCCCGAAAACTTCCGCGCCACCACCACTCCATCAACCATCTCCAAACTTCTCGAGTGACTCGCCCATCATCTCTCCCTCCGGGGGGTCAACACGATTGGCACCACTTTGGTGGTTTGACCCGGTGGGATATGCTTGGGATGTCCACCTGTCCCGCTACAGTTCGGGAATTGTCATCCGTGTTCGGGTGGCAGCAGCAGCGAGAGATTTGGTCCCGAGACCTGGCACGCGGTGCCCTTGCTGTGTCGACACGACACCCAGAGCCGACCGCGAACATCGTCTCGCTTGTGTCGGCAGCGGAGAAGGTGGCCACCCAAATTGGCTCCCCTCCAGTGGGGGATCCAGGGGGTGGGGGCTGGAGGCGATCGCCCCCTAACCCCCCCCCCTCCGACCACAGGGAAGCCTCTGCGGCAATTTTCTGGACACATTTTCAGAGGGGGAGTGGGGGGCACTTTCGCCGATGATGCATCAGCAGCTGGGAAAGGCAACAGCGGCTATTCCTATGAATACTCACCCCCGCCACAGGAATGTGTAATTTCCACCCACCGACTCTGCAGGGCCGTACATGTCAGAGGAGCACCGATGCCCCATTGCTGATTTAAGCAGCAGGAGATAATTGACGCAACGACGACACCAACAAACCACGCACACTCTCACGACGATTACCATCCTTTAATTCGTCACTTCTCATCCGATATTCCGTCTCGTTGAGTGCAATACGTGGGGAGCTGCGCGCAGGCAACTCGGAAGAAAGGGGGGGGGGAGCCGGTGAGCTTAAAGGCCCTCTCCTGCGCTCGCTCTCCCTTGTACACACACACATACACAGTACATACCACTTACACATACACAGTACATACCACTTACACATACACGTGTGCGTGGTGCGTGCGGTGCTGGCCACCCACCCCCTCGTGTGCCGTACCGGCCTTCATAGGTGCTCGCTAACGGCACTTGCCCCAAAAATATGTTAAGGCTATACGGGGGATCTTTGTCTTAGTGTGTCAAGCATTGCGACGTACTATGGCGTCCGCGTGACAGTCACGTGCGTCGGAGGTGCTAATTGGATGATAATTGGTTCGGCGTCATCATCGACTCGACGACTCGTCCGGGTCGTCGTGAGCAGCCTCGATATTATAGTGAAGAGGGTTCGCACTGGAGCGTGTGTACTACAACAGTGTGTGTGTCTGCGTGTGTGTCTGTGCGTGTGTACTACAACAGTGTGTGTGTGTCTGCGTGTGTGTCTGTGCGTGTTTATTGCAACGGTGTGTGTGTGTCTGCGTGTGTGTCTGTGCGTGTGTACTGCAACGGTGTGTGTGTCTGTGTGTGTCTGTGCGTGTGTACTACAACGGTGTGTGTGTCTGTGTCTGTGCGTGTGTCTGTGCGTGTGTACTACAACGGTGTGTGTGTCTGTGTGAGAATCCGGCGACCCGAGTTCGATTTACACACACGACTAACATCAGTGACGATTATCCGAACCGGTCACGGGCCTCCCCTAGGTTGACTCAGCCTTAAATCAGTCACCTGGTGCGGTGTAAATATCATCACAAGGGAGACAAAGGCGGCCGAGCGTGGTGCTGGCCACCCACACCATCGTGTGCCGTCCCGGCCTTCATTGGTGCTCGCTAACAGCACTTGCCCCGACAGTCTGTTACAGGCTATGCGAGCGGGGGGTCTGTATCTTTGTTGGATATGTGCGAATATGTACGTGTGTGCGTATCCGTTTGTGCGTGCGTGTCCGTGCGTGTGTGCGCGTGTGTCCGTGCGTGCAACGCAATGGCGCAGTTTTTCGCTCACTGCGCCTACGAACCCAGCGAGCTGGTTTCACTTCCCGGGTAACATCAGCGGTACGTACAAACCGTGTCTGTTATAACAGGCCTCCCCCTAGGTCCACTCAGCGTTAATCGAGTGCCTGATGCAGTGTGTAAACATCATCACTGGGGAGACAAATGCGGCCGGGCGCGTTATTGTAGCCACACCGATCCGTCGTGTACCGTGCCGGCTTCCATCGGTGCTTCGCTAACAACACTTGCCCCAATAGCGTGTAAGGCTATACGGGGGGGGGGTATTCGTCTTTAGCTATGTGCGTTCTATGTACAAATGTCGGTGCATCTTCTCCCCGTGAATCCTGTCCTCACCCCCACCCCCCTCGGCGTGGGAGGGTAGCGGAGTCGGGAACGGTGGCATTTACACGTCTCGCTAATTGTCGAATGTACAAAATGTACAGGCGCGTATTTACACAAAGCTGCAGGCGACGTGGCGATGGTGCAGCCGTTGTCAGAGGTGATGGGGGATGATGGTGATGATGGTGGTTGGTGGTGATGGTGGGTAATGGTGATGATGGTGGTTGGTGGTGATGGGGGGTAATGGTGATGATGGTGGTTGGTGGTGGTGGGGGGTGATGGTGGTGGTTGGTGGTGATGGGGGATGATAGTGATGATGGTGGATGGTGGTGATGGGGGATGATGGTGATGATGGTGGATGGTGGTGATGGGGGATAATGGTGATGATGGTGGTTGGTGGTGGTGGTGGTGATGACGTGTCGATGATGACGGTTGCCATTATAGTTGCGGTGCAGGCGGTGGTGACGATAACTGTGACCATGGCTGCGGTGCTGGTGACGATTTGTTGGTGGCAAAAATTAGGAAAGTGTCAAGGGTTGTGGTAGTGATGGCGGTAGTGATGGAGACGGTGGTAGTTGTGGAGATAGTGGTAGTGATGGAGGTGGTGGTATTTATGGTGGTAGTGATGGTGGTAGTGATAGTGATGGTGGTAGTGATGGTGGTAGTGAGAGTGATGGTGGTAGTGATAGTGGTAGTGATGGTGGTAGTGATGGAGGTGGTGGTATTTATGGTGGTAGTGATGGTGGTAGTGATGGTGCTAGTGATGGTAGTAGTGGTGGTAGTGAGAGTGATGGTGGTAGTGATGGTGGTAGTGATGGTGGTAGTGATGGAGATGGTGGTCGGGGTTCGAGAACTCAGGGACAACCACGAGCCTCTGCCCAGGGCGTCTCTAAAAAGGAAGATCTGATGAGGATGACGTCTATGCTGATGATGACGATGTTCATACTGCTGATGATGACCGTGATTATTGACGTTGAAGATGATGGTGCTGTTGATGACGATGATGATGCTGACACTGATAATGATAAAGACGATTACGTTCACGATGATGGCGCTTTCGCTGATCGTGATATTGGTAATGACGCTGCGACTGATGAAATTATTGTTGATGATGACATTGTTGATGAAGTTGTTGATGGTGAAGCTGTTGATGATGACCATGAGAAGAGGGGGATGATGATCGTGGAGACCGTGGGGGGTGAACCGAGGTGGGGGGGCGGGGCGGGGGGGCTGTTATGGGTGTGAGGGATGAGGGGAGGGGCCGATCGCGCTCGCAGTTGAACGATGACAGTGCCAATCACGCCAACGGCGCGATCACAACAAACGAACCACGTGACCATCACGCACTCCCAACCCGTCCCAAAGGGCTGTCAACATCACAGCCGATAACATCACCGCAGCACGACCCACATCACCCCACGTCACCTCGCCCCCACCGCCCATCCTTTGCCCCACACCCCCCTCCCTCTCTCCAAGCCCGCGCCTCTGCTCGCCTCGGGCCCCGTCGCGGTGTCCAACCGAGACCCTGGGCGCTCCTGAGCGCGGGCGCGTTGTGCAAAGCCTCTGCGGGTGGCGCAATGTGTCCTCTATTGACAATACAGCAGCAGCAGCGGTGGCGTTACCACACCGCGGCCCATCACACCCCCCCCCCACTCTCCCTCCATCTCTCCAAGGGGGAGACGTGACCCCACGCACGGGGTCCGCCTCGAGCCAACGGGGGTCCCTTCATCCTTCAGCGCAAGGTACCCCCCGCCCCTACACTCCTCCTCCTACCCTTTCAGCGCACGGGATCTCTCGTCCCGAGGGGCCCTCCTCCATTCGACACGTGTCACCCAGCCCACGGGGGCCCAAACTACAAGGGGTCTCCCACCCACAGGGTCTCGAGTCTATGGGTCTCCGTGCGAGTCTATGGGTCTCTATGTAAGTCTATGGGTCTCTATGTAAGCCTATGGGTCTCTATGCAAGTCTATGGATCTCTATGTGAGTCGATGTGCGTTTCAGCATGACTGTGGTGGAACACAATCCATCACTGATGTCACCGATCGTTGCCCAACACCGCGCACTTTCGCGGGAGGCACAAATGGACTCCATCGGATGGCTTCTCCAAACCCTCTAAACTCGCAGCTGTATCCTCGCTCCGTTGTTTTTCAACCGTGGAGTCATCCACCAGGATATATGGACTTCTCCTACCGAGGGGAAGTCCTCAGGGAAGATGGAGGGACACTGACAGGGCAGACCCTAGGGGTCGCGTGTCTACTGTGTGACAGAAGCAGCAGCAGGAGCAGCTGCGGAGATCTGCTGGAGGAGGCTCGGGTCACACACCCATCCGGGACTCGGAGTCCGTGCTCGCAAGGCAGTGGGGATCGGTTTGTACCAAAATCCGGTTCCGGTGTCACTGCGTTGAACTGAACCGTCCGTACACCGCACCGTCTCGCAACCGCGAGGCGGCTGAGCAATCCGTCAGGGTTGAGTCTGCAGGGGACAGTGTGGCGGCTCTACCTGCGGAGGCCGTGAAGCCCTGGCGAGCTGCGGTGGCATCACCGGCCGCCATCTTGCGTAGCTGTGGCTGCGACCGGACACTCCTCGCTCCAAACAGCCCCGCGTCTATCTTTAGGGGGTGACCTCTTCCCCTCCGCCCTAAATTTAGACGAAGAGAAGCGATGCCTCTAGACGCCAAACGTGAACCTCGCTCGGGGTGGAAGCCGCTGCTTCAAGGCGCCCTCAGATTTGGCATCGTCACGCAGCACGTTCGCGACGTGGGGCCGTGAGAGGCGTGACGGCGGCGTGCAGAGGCCTTCATCCAGCAGTGGATTGACCGTGGCTGACGGCGATGACGGTGACCCGCGGCTTCGTCTAGCCCAGAGCGGTACCCATCGTGTCGACTCGGATGGCTTGGGGGGGCGGGCAGGATATATCGTCGCAAGAAGAATGGAAAACCACAACCGAAGATGAACGGTGATGAGCGTGGAAACCTCGGGGAGGATAGAGACTGGGGTGGCCGCCTGTCTGAGAACCGGCCTCGGTTTTCGGGTGCCAGGAATTTATTTGTCCCAAGGTGTGGTGCTAATTGTGCAGAACTTTAATGGACCAAGTGCCGACTGAGAACTAAATACGGGTTTGGTCTACAGCGGAAATGCAGGTGGACCCCAGTGGAGACCGAGGGGCAGGGCCCAGGAAGCAGTGGACAGCAGTGAGGGACAGCAGTGAGTGGAGGGGTAGGAAGGCAGCAGACCCAGAGAGCCGCTGAGCCTGTGGGTGGGTGTTCCCTATGGCTCCCAGGTCTCCCTGACAATAGACAGATGGCAGACCTCACTGGCCTCTCACCTGGGTCAAACACCGGCATCAGGCACACAAGGAGCATCGCCATCAGGTTCGCCAAATCAGCGGACCACGTGGGAGGTTGCCTGCAATCTGGAGTCGCTTGCCTGTGATCCAAACCCACCCGGGGGCCCACCCTGCGTTAGACCACGCGTTCAGGGGCCCACCTGTGCAGTGGAGGCCACATTAAGGGGCCCCACCACATGTCCACGAGCCACACTGTGTAGACGCTACTCACCCAAGCAGCCCTCCCTGCATGGAGGCCACATGTCCAGGGCCTGTCAAATGGCCCAGGAGCCCACCCTGTGGCCTGGAGGCCCCACCACGTGCTCAGGGTCCACCCTGTGTGGACCACACCGAGCCCGGGGGCCCACGATGTGTAGTGGAAGCCACGTGGCAGGGGCCCACCCTGTACGAAGGCCACCCGCCCCAGGAGCAAACTCAGTACGAGGACGCATACCCAGGACCTACTGCGTACAAAGGACCCCACCCTGTTCAGTAAACACGTGTCCGAGGGCCCACCCTGTATGCTCGAGGCTCACTCAATGCAAAGGCCACTTGCCTAAGGCCCGCCACTTGCATAGAAATCTCTTGTCCGAGCACCCACCCTGTGCTGAGGCCACGTGTCCCAGGGGCGCCACCACCACGTGTCCCATGGGCCCACTCAGTGTGGCGGCCACGTGCGCAGGACCCACTACACGTCCAAGGGCCCACCCTGCACACTGGAGGCCACGTGTCCCAGGGGCCCACCCGGTGTCGTCCCAGGGCCTGGCTCAGACCCTCCACAGCAGCAGGTGGTTGGTGCTGTCGTCCCTCCCCGCGGCATCGTCTCCGCCGGGGCTCGGTGACCCCGTGAACTCCTCGTAGCCGTCCCCGCCGCTGATGACCAGCAGTGCCCCGGGGCCCCCCGCGTGACCCCCCGCGGGCCCCGCGCCCCCCAGGACCCCCGGCAAGCCGCTCGCGCGCAACCGCTTCCCCGAGTCGCGACGTGGCGCCTTTGGGGTTTGGTCGGGGGCCCCCACGGGGCCTCCTGCACAGGGGGGAGGGGGGTAGGGGGAGAAGAGGAGGGGAGAGGGAAAGGGAGGGAGGAGCATAACAGCCACTGATGTTAGCTGTGAGTGGGAATCGAACCTGGTTCGTTTGTAGCGCAGTGGGCGAACCACTTAAACGTATGCATCTTCTTCTTCTATCGTACGGCCGATATAGATGAAAAGCAACAACGACACTTTCAGATTCAGGTGGTCAATCCAGACAACCGCCGTAGGAACAGCGGAGTGCAGTATGCGTATTCAAAAACACGAATGCGTCATGGACAGCAGCAGGGTGCACAACAAGAACATGAATGAGAACAATTATTAGAGACGGGCAGGGTGAGGTTTCTTGGACCTGCGATGAGCAAACAAGAGGCCGAGTATGAAAGTGGTTCTGACGGGTACAAGAAACCGGGGAAGACAGCGAATTGAGTTCCACGAGCAATGAGAAGGATTGGATGCCACTGGGAGGAGAATCCGATGCAGAGTCGTTGAGTAAATCTCATGGACAGAGCTCAATGGAAAGACGGCCACGATCGCGACTTCTATGAGAGAGAACGTGGCTCACAGACAGAGAGACATTGACATGCGTTTGTGGGAACATAGACAATTACACAATTCCGCATATATATTCACCATCACCACCAGCATCCTGTAAACAGAGCCATAAGCTCTCTCCATTGTTAGAAGGCCCTTCCTTTACAAGTATGCGTCTCTTGGTGACACACTTGGGTCTACTCCAGTTTCCACTGTGACGTCATCAGACATCAACTCCGCACCACAAACCTCAACCCGGTTTCGGTATCTGATTTACTCATCATTGTGGGCATCACCACCATCATCATCCATCATCACCACCACCATCACCACCATCATCATCCATCATCAAATGATTGCTGGGGGGGGGAAGAATTCAGCGTCCACGTCATGGCCCCTCCCCCCTCCAAGTCTAAAATGCTCCACACACACTAGATAGTTAAATAATCTACTGCTGGATGAAGGCCACCCTATGACGATAACCATGAGCATCACCATCATGCTCATCATCAGCCGTGATCAACAAACATCAGCAGCAGCAGCAGCCATGATCCGTCCACTGCTGGATGAAGCCCCCACCCCCCCACCGAACGCTGCCTTCCTCTTACCAGGGCTGACTCCTGGCCGCGCGCTGTCACGGCGGTGATTGTGACGACATTTCCTTCCCAGCAGGCCGAGACAGAAATACGCAAATTCCCCCAAATTGACGGCAGCAACAGAACAGCCGTTGGCGCTATTAATGTGATTCGGCCGAACCCCGTAACGCAGCAAACAAAGACCTGCCTCCGAGTGAGTCACGCGTTCGCCAAATTACCCTCGGGCGCGCGGCGGCAGTGAACGACTGAGATTAATCGGAGCTCGCTCACAATGAAGGTGACCCCCCCCACTTCCTCACCCCCCCCCCCCAGCTGCCGATACGTCACGAGCTGCCGCCTTCGTGTGAGGTTGCCCAACCGCTAAGAAGCCTCCTCCTCTGTGATACAATTTTACAAATTCACCAGCAGTAAAGACACGAATGAGAGTGATGTTATTACTTCAGACAATGACCAGGAGCTATTAGAGAAGAAGGCGAGTTAGATTTCTTGGACCCGTGATGAGAAAACACCGATTGGGCGCCACTGGCAGGGGGACCCGATGCGGAGTCGTTGAGTTCACGTCAATACGGACAGAGCTCAATGGAAGGGAGGCCGTGGTGGCCGCCGTCTACGAGAGAGGAGGTGGCACAGAGGGAGAGAGAGGGGAGTCTTGCTCAAGTGGAGCGCCTCTCCTGTTTACAGGCCGACAGAGCCAGGAGTGGAAATTCCACATTCCACGTCTCTATGGGAGGGGGTGGGGAAGGGGGCGAGTCCGCCTAGAGCACAACCCCCCTGTGGACTTCCTCCACAGCATAGAACCTATTTTGTCGTTCCCGAATGGAAGGGATGATGGGCTGGGTCAACCTCCCATGATGGACGTTACACATGGTGGACACTGTCCATGGCGGACACTGGTAGCATGTCACCTCCGGTGGTACCAACGCCGCCGGTTCGCGATCTCAGATCTCAGAACTCGCAGGGCCTACAATGACCCCAGATCCAAGGACTCCACCCACCTCTCCCCAGCGTCGAGTCAGCACTTCTCATTAATACTTGAGGGGGCCGCAGTGGGAGCTGGAACCCGAGATCCAGATTCGCGGGGGGGGGGGCGTGGGGGGCAGCTCGTGTGTCTCTTTCCGAGACGCAGAGATTTCTGCAGAGTGCGTGGGCGAGGGGGTGAGTGGTGACGCAGTGGTTAGCGCGCTGCGCTACAAGCCCGGCGACCCAAGTTCAATTCCGGCTCGCGGCCAAAAGCAGGGAGCGATATTTGAACCAGTCCCGGGCCTCCCGGCTAGGTCGAGTAACTGGTGGGCTGCATAAACATCGCCACTAGGGAGACAAAGGCGGCTGGGCGTGTTGCTGGCCACCCACTCCTTGGTGTGCTGTGCCGCCCTTCATAGATGCTCGCGAATAGCACTCGCCTGATCATAGCCTGTTAAGGCTATAAGGGGGAGAGGTCTCTTCGTGTGGATGTGTGAGTGGTGCGTGAGTGGGTGCGTGAGTGTGTGTGAGTGTGTGAGTGTGCGTGAGTGTGTGAGTGTACGTGAGTGTGTGAGTGTGTGCGTGAGTGTGCGTGAGTGGGTGCGTGAGGGAGTGCGTGAGTGGGTGCGTGAGTGTGTGAGTGAGTGTGTGAGTGTGTGCGTGAGTGTGTGCGTGAGTGTGTGCGTGAGTGTGTGTGAGTGTGTGTGAGTGTGTGAGTGTACGTGAGTGTGTGAGTGTGTGCGTGAGTGTGCATGAGTGGGTGCGTGAGGGAGTGCGTGAGTGGGTGCGTGAGTGTGCGTGAGTGTGTGAGTGTGTGCGTGAGTGTGTGTGAGTGTGCGTGAGTGTGCATGAGTATGTGAGTGTGTGTGAGTGTGCGTGAGTGTGTGAGTGTGTGCGTGAGTGTGTGTGAGTGTGTGTGAGTGTGCGTGAGTGTGTGAGTGTATGTGAGTGCGTGAGTGTGTGAGTGTGTGCGTGAGTGTGTGCTTGAGTGTGTGCGTGAGTGTGTGTGAGTGTGTGTGAGTGTGTGTGAGTGTGTGATTTAGTATGGGGCCACACCACCTCGTCGAGTGGCATTCCGGTCTTCTTTGGTGCTCGTTAACGGCACTTGAGTGGAGGCTACACAAAGCTTAAACTCACTCCTTAAGGAGTTATCCAAACATCCCAATGCAGGACCCTCTTGAATACTCGTATTGAGACTCAGTTGAGGCTTTCCTGTACCCATTATCCTTAGGATTAACCGCGCCGGTTCAATTACGAGCTGCTCCTCACTCATCGTGGGTCAGTGGCTCAGTGCCCACATGAACACAAAACACATGGACAAGTAATCCCATGACTTTCGGGAAGATGGGAAGTAAAGGCGCAGCCCTGAAATGTCTCGTTTGCTGGCAGAAGGACCTCGAGCGAACTCTATATAGAGTTGGCCTTTGGTCGACTCTTCCACGTCGGTGCGATGTGCTGGGAGAGCTGGGCGTACCCGCACTTTATCCCACCGCACGCCACCTGCCGCTCGACCGACTGGGGCGTAGCCCGTTCACACCGCTGGGTGGACAGGGGGCGTTTGAGAAACCTGGCCCACTTTGTTCCGCCTGCCACGCCGGGAGATGGAACAGGACCGAGCGACCTCGGCTTGGCGAGTCCAGCGCGCCGCTGACCATCATGGAGGGGGCTGCCCCCCGACGCAGGTCGCAGTGAATCCGGCTGGACCATCACCTGCACGCGTTTTGCATCACGTGTCTCTGTGTTTCTATCTCTGCGATCGTTCCCCCTATGTGCACAGAGGGGGGTGGGTGATCATCGGCGTGAGCCGGATGCGACGGAGATGACCTGAGACTTGTCTCCAGTCCACAAAAACCCCACGGGGCGACTCGGCGAGCGAGCCAAGTTTTGTTTGCGCCGCGCTCGGCCTCCCCCCTCCCCGGCACACGCGGGCGCAGCGCGGAGCTCGCAAGCGCCACTTGAGGAGGCGGCGGCAGCGGCGGTGGCGGCGTTCCGCCCGAGCGCATTGTCTCTGGGCGTCATGGGGAAACTTGCCCCGGGTGATCTATACCCCCCTCCTCTCCTCCACCGCCTGCAACGCCTCACACGGTGGCGGCGGCGTTCCGCCTCGTCTCACGCCACCCTCCATTAGCCTTATTACTCACAAAGCCGCCAACGCCTCGACATCATTCAGTGTTGCCTGGTCTCGCCAACCGCTAAGTAAGTCCACCTTATTACACGAACATAACCTGCCAATCACAGGCAATCATCAGCGGCAATCAACCGCTATTATTAAACTGGATCTTGTGCACAATTGTGCCGGCATGGCACGGACTCAAGGACACGGATGAGGAAGCCCGTCCACGCCAGGAGAGGTGAGTGGCTGTGCACGCCTGATGATGAAGATGATGATGGTGCGCCAGACGTCCAGACGTCGTATGAGTTTCTGTATGAGTCTATGGGTCTATGTGTGAGTCTATGGGTCTATGTGTGAGTCTCTGGGTCTCTGTGTGAGTCTCTGGGTCTATGTGTGAGTCTATGGGTCTCTGTGTGAGTCTCTGGGTCTCTGTGTGAGTCTCTGGGTCTCTGTGTGAGTCTCTGGGTCTCTGTGTGAGTCTCGAGGTCTCTATGCAAGTACGCAGGAAGCCACTGACAGCACAACCCAGACTCTCACTGAATCCGCCTGCATGCATCATCATCCGAGACCGGAAAAACCCGAACCGCAGTCTGCACGGCTCCACCCTGCGATTTCGGGCTAAGTGGACCTAGTGCGAGGCCGCTCGGCTGACGTACCTTGCTGGGCCCAGACGCAGCCCTCGGGCAGCCGCACGCTGGTGATGAACCTCACGTGGCCTGTGTGGCCGTGCAGGCAACCCACGGGGGCCGCGGCGGGCCAGCGCTGCGGCGGCGGCGACGGGGCCCCCGGCCCAGGGCTCCCCGCAGAGTCGTGCTGCCCCCACTCGGGGTCCGGCTGCTGGGCATCGGCCCCCCATTCGGCGCTCTGGGGGGCCCCCCCGCGCCGCCGCCGCCGGGGTGGGGGCGGCGGGGCGGGGGGCTGCGGTCGTGCCGCCGGGGGGTGGGGCGGGCGAGGCGGTGGTGCGGCAGGGTGACGAGGACCCCCGCGCTGGTGCCCACCCACAGCAGCTCGGCGCCCGGGGTGAGCGAGGTGACGCGCAGGCACGCCGACTTGTGCTGCCGGATGATGGCGTCGCAGCCTGCGGGCGGGCGGGCGGGACGGCGTCGTCGTCATCTTTGTCAGAACCGTCGTCGTCGTCATCGTCGTTGGTCATGTACGCGTGTTGAGTTCCCCCGGGTAGCCTTCACACACTGCTCAGGCAAGTGCTGCTAGCGAGCACATACGGAGACTGGGAAGTCAATCGTACGAGGGGGCGGTGTGGCGAGCACCACGCCCGACCGCCTTTGTCTCCCTCGTGCTGAAGTTGGATACACACCGCACCAGGTACCCATTTAAGGCTGAGACGACCTGTATGTATGTTGAACTCTTTTCACACCGCACGTAGCCAACCGTGCTAATCAAAGGTAAGAGTCATAATCGTCCCGTACTAACCGATAAACTGACGCGTCGTCAATTTCCTAACGCGTCCCCCTTCCCTCCACCGTCTCTTCGCGGGGGTCCCCAAGGGCCCCCATCCGAAGGGCCCCCACCCACCCCCGCACTCACCGGCCAGCATCCTGGAGACGGCCGCGGTGACGTCCACCTCGGCGAGACACTCGTAGGTGGCGGGGTGGTAGAGTCGCACCTGGGTGCTGGCGGTGAGAGCCACCCACACCCCGGAGCCCTCACTGGCCATGCACGCCACGCCGCGGCCCCCCTCCCCGTCCACCACGAAGCTCGCCTGGGGGGGGGGAGAGATCGCAGCAGGGGGGTCGTGTTGGTGGCACGGGGGCCATGCCAGAGCGTGGGGAGGGAAGTCGTCGATCCACTGGCTGTTTGACTCAATCATCCCTTTTAATTTTGATAACTGGCTGATCGATTGACCGGCTGATTGGCGGAGAGACCGTTCTGTCCGTTGCGTCACTGCGTGACCTCGGTGTCTCTACGAGCGGTCAGTCGGTGCAGCTTAACGACCTATCTATCCATTAACTGTTGTATTAACTGACCGACTGATTGACTGACTGACCGATCGATTCACTTCCTTATCGGTACATTTACCGAGCGGTCAGCCGACTGACCGACCGTACGCTCAATCACTGGAGTTAGAGGAATGTCCGGCAGGGGGGGGGGGGGTTACCTCGACGAGGAGGGAGTCGGGGTGCAGCACCACGATGCTGCTCTGGCAGCCGCACCACAGGCGGCCGCTCACGGCCAGCATGCGGCACACGGGGGCAGCCGCCGTGGACAGGGGCAGCACGCGCGCCTCCCCCACGGCCCAGAAGCAGCCTGGGGGGGCACGGGGGGCACAGGAGGGGGGGCACAAGGGGGGCACAGGAGGGGACGGGGGGGGGGAGCGAGGTGTCAGCAACAGATACAATAGTTGCAATCACCAAAGCGCTTGGTAAACAACAATAACAACTCTGATATCGGCAATAACAACAACAATGCCAACGTTAATCACTGAAACATCCACCGACAACCGCAGCCACAACAACAAAATCAGAGCGACCACAGAAACGACCACGACAGAAACTCGAGGCAACAACAAAAATAACATCGCGATCACTACAGCACCAACAACCGTCTCCGCTGTGGGTCGCGAGAGACGCCGCTGGACTTGCTCGTTCAGGGGATCGCTCGAATGCAAATTCCGTCTCCTCGGGTAAGCGAATTTGAGATGGCAGTGACGTGATGTTCACAGTACGAGAAACTTTACGCGGTTAAGCAATGGAATTAAGAATGAGGCGCGATCATTGTTTGCCTGTCCTTTTTGTCAATCCGCTACTGGATTAATACCTCCCACGCCGTGTCGATGGTGGGTGTTGTTTGACCATACTTGGTGGTGGGGGGGGGGTAGGTAGGGCTGCTTTCAGATTTTCACTCTGAGCCACTCGTTTTAGCCGTGGCCGGGAAACGAACGCATCTCCAGCGGACTTCGTAGCGCAGTGCGTTCCATGGTACGCCCGCAGCTCACGCCGAGACCCCAAGGGGGTCTCGCTTAGCGGCCCTACCCGGGAGGGCGCGCCTCGACAGGCAGGGCTGGCAGGCCGAGTGGGGGGGGGGGGGGGTCTATCAGCGCTGGTTTCAATGTGGGTTGAATCTCAACGTGCCCACATTTCACTTGGGCGAGTCGCTATTGGCAACACGACCTGATGCAGCACGCATCGTTCAATATGTCGGATCAACTTTACAATAATTACCCTGCACCCCCCCTCCCGTTACAGACGAACACAGCCAATACGTGAAGATTAAAACTTGAGTTGGAAAGTTTTGACGAGCAGCAGCAGCAGCAGGGGGGATCCACCACCTTACCTTCGTCGCGGTGGTAAACCACAAGGTCCCCGTTGGCCAGAGACACAAACACCTTGTTCTCCAGGAACCTACACAGACGTCAACACAACAACCACACACACACGTGCGCACACACACACACACACGCGCGCGGCTTAGTCCATGAAGACAAACAGCCCCCGTGTAGCCCTGAACAGACTGTTGGAGGCAAGTGCTGTTAGTGAGTAGCACCTATGAAGGCCGGCACGGCACACGAGGGGGTGGGTGGCCAACACCACGCCCTGCCACCTTTGTCTCCCCAGTACTGATGCTTTACACAATGCAGTAGGTACTCATTTAAGTCTTGAGGCCAGTTCAAATATCCGCGCCACCGGTGTTGGTCGTGAGCGGGAATCGAACTCGGGTCGCAGGGTTCGTTGCGCAGTGTGCTGACCGTTGTGCCACCGCTCCCCCCTCCGACTCACACGATGCAGGTGACCGCGGCCGAGTGTTGCAGCTTGAGGCTCTTCTTGCGGTGGCGGATCGTGTCGGACGACTGGTAGATGTGGATGCTGCGGGCAGGGCGCACAGAGGATGGAGTGACTAGTTGATTGCTCTCAGCAGCTCGCAGCCCGGTATCACGAGCGGGGCGTGGACTGAATGAGTACGCACCTGACCAAAAGTGCCCCTCTCCACCGCGGGAGATGCAGCTTTGAGGCTATGGCCTCCACCACCTGGGGTGACCTTTGACCTCTTAACATTGACCTCTTAAAATGTACCTATTAACAATGACATCTTTACTCTTTGGTTCTTTCGGTAAATGACATCTTAACAATGACCTCTTCACATTGACCTCTTAATATTGACCCAGCGAACGAAGGTCACGGAAGTCAACCCCACGCTCGACTCAAATCGCTAACACGCGATCTGGTGGTGGTGGTGGTGATGCTGCTGTCACTGCGTTGGCAGTGGTGGTGCACAACAACCAACAACAACAATCGAACTCGTTCCTCAACAGCTCTTCTCCACACCACGGAGGCCATCCCGGTCGGGTCAGGATATTCACGGACCCAGGTGGCAGTGCCCCCCATGACCTGGCCACTCTTGACAAATCTGTTCCCAACTTAAAACATTTAAGTAAAACAGGTAGAGAGTTTAGAATTGTCTAAAACTATGTGAGATTATCAGGGGCAAAATCCTTAGTCATGCTTTACTTGACTTAGGTTAAAAGTCATAGGTCACACATATGCACTGTATGCGTACTCTGGTGGCCTCGTCGCTTTCATCTTGCAGTATCACTCGCGTCTCATAACGATCCACTTAAACGCAACTTTTAAGTATTTTTATGGCGAACAAAGCCACGATCTATTGTATTGGGGCTCACAGGACCCAGCCCAGGAAGTGATTGGCAAGATAAGCGCTGTGGGTTTTGGGGCCTTGTCAATTGCCCTATAAAGAGCTGCTACTGGGAGCCATCGGTTCAGAATATTCCTTCGTCGATGAACGTGATGATTCTTAACAAAAGTTATTGCCAGTTAGTTTGTTCGTTTATTTGAAGCAGTTGTCTTTGTCTGTGCGGGAAAGCTCCACCGAGTCTCAGGACATCCCGGGTTTCCCTGCCAATTCCTCGGTGTTTTTTGCGCCCCTTGCCCTGCTGCCACCTGCTGGCCACTGCGAAGCCCAAGTCACACACGGGATGATCTCGACGTGATCCACCAACCCAATCTCAACACGCTCCAGATTACAGGGATGCTGTCACCACCACCACCAGCTGATGATGATGACAATAATATGGATGGTCGCGATGGTTGATCGTCACAATAATGATGATCATAATGACGTGGATAGCGGTCCTTTGATAATGATATGAAGGTAATATTAATAGTTGTGATTGTGATGATAATTATGACGATGATGATGGTGAAGGAATTATGGTATACTGGAAGTTGCACTGATAATGGGTATAATGGTGATGTCAATAATGATTAAAACAAATACCATGCTGAATGTACTATTGTAATGATGATGACAATGAGAATTCTGGTGGCAATAATGAAGGTGACAACGATGAAGACGATGACGACAATGCTGATGACGCCGATGATGGGCGAACTCCGCGCCACGCACCAGCCGTCCTCCGTGCCCAGCCACACGGAGCCCTGGAACGGTTCGGGCTTCGGGCACGATGCCTCGTCAGGGCTGGGTCGCGTGAAGCCCCCTAGCGGGGGGCTCCTGGCGCTGCCCGGCGGGTCGGCCGTGAAGGGGTTGGGGGGCGGCGTGGGGGGGAAGGGGTTCCCTGCCCCCCCCTCCTCCTCCTCTTCCTCCTCCTCGTCGTCGTCCGAGCTGCTGCTCTCCTCGGGGGTCACATGCCCCCCCCCACTCAGCTCCTCTACTGCACGTGCGGCATGTGTGCGGGAGACATATACGGACATACACATAGATATAAGGACAAAGATCCCCCATATAACATCAACAAATTGCTGGGGCGAGTGCTGTTAGCGAGCACCTATTAAGGCCGAGACGGCACACGACGGAGTGGTGTGGCCAGCACCACTCCCTGTTGCTGAGTTCTACACACCACAGCAGGGACTCATTTGAGACCGAGTCACCCGAGGGGAGGCTCAGGACTCACTCGCACGCACGCACAGGCACACAGCCGCACCCCTCAGTGCCGCGAGCGACGGCTCGATGTGCGGACCCCAGGACCCGGCCTCGTCCTCCTCCAGCTCCTCCAGCTCCTCCTCTTCTTCATCCTCGTCCTCCTCTTCCTCCTCCTCCTCCTCTTCTCCCGAGTCCTCGCTCTCGAAGGGGTTGCAGGCGACGCCGCCGCTGGCGCCGCCGCGGCCGGCGAGTCGTCGGTGGCGCGCCCTGCCGGCGCCCGGCGCGCTCGCGTGGCGCTCGCGCCGCACCGCAATGGGCAACGGCTCAGCCGGCGCCGCGTCGCCGATGCAGATGTGGAGAGCGGAGCTGCTCTCCTCGTCGCGGTGCTCGTTGCGGTGCCGGTGAGAGACGAGGTCCTCCTCGGAGGCGATTGTCGGCAGACGGCGCAGCGGGGAGTCGGGGAGCGGCACTCCCTCCCGTGACCCCCCACTATCAACGCTGCTTGGGGGGAGCGGGGGGCGAGGTAGAGAGGTAGGAGCAAGGAGGAAGCACAAGGGAGTGAGCGTACATCGTCATGGGTCAAATTAGAAGAATAATTATCGTGCTCCCAGTTGCCATGTAACAAGAGGACCATTCACATCTTCACCACAACTATTATCATCATCATCCGGACTATCAAAACCACCATCATCAATCTCATCAAATGCAATCATCATCAATACCCCATCATCACCACTGCCACTATCATCAGTTCTCCATACTTGTGTATGGTGGAGAGGTGCCACGGGCGGGATGGGGGGGGGGTAAATGGGTGAGGAGCGACTGTGGAGGTCTCTGCGTGGAGTGGCAGGGGACGGTGAAGGGGGTTGAGGAGGAAGGAGGGATGGATGTGGGAAAGGTGAGAGGGGAGGGAAGGAGAGAGGAGGAGGGATGGATGTGGTGGGGGGGCTGGTACACGAGTGGCGGAGGGTGTTTGGGGGGGGTACCCGGTGGGGGGCTTCTGCAGTGCAGGCACGGGCGCGATGCAGAGGATGCGTGCGGAGCACACGGCGATGCAGGCCTCGACGATGGGCTCCGGGGTGAGGCTCAGCAGGCACACCTGGCCCACGTAGCCGTCGCTGTTGCACACCCACACCTCGCAGCCGCCCAGCGGCACGCACACGCTCGGGGAGGCGCACGAGAACTGTGCACGCCGGGCAGCACGCCACACACCACGCACCACGCCCCACACACCACACACCACACACAGCGCACCACACCACGCACAACGCACCACACACCACACACCACACACAACGCACCACACCACGCACAACGCACCACACACCACACACCACACACAACGCACCACACACCACACCCCACACACCACACACCACGCACCATACCCCACACACCACGCCGCACCATGCACCACGCACCACCCCACGCACCACACCACGCACCACACCCCACACACCACGCACCACACACCACGCACCACGCCCCACACACCACGCACCACACACCACACACCACACCACGCACCACGCACCACGCACCACACCCCACACACCACGCACCATACCCCACACACCACACACCACGCCGCACCATGCACCACCCCACGCACCACACCACGCACCACACCACGCACCACACCCCACACACCACGCACCACACACAACGCGCCATACCTCACACACCACACCACGCACCACGCACCACACACCACGCACCACACACAACGCACCACACCACACACCACGCACCACACCACGACGCATTACAAACCGCTGAGCATGCGCGTCACACGGCACGCACCGGTACACCGACCCCCCCCCCAACCACGCCACACCCCACGGGGCCTGGAGGGGCAACTCGCGTCAGGTGAGCACCCCCCCCACCCCCCACCCCCAACCCCCCAACCCCAACTTTAATCCCGTGAGACCCCCCCCCCCCGCTCGCCCCCTCCCTACACTGCTCGTGGGACACCGAATCCCGTTGAAAGGGGACCCCAAGTGACCACTCCTGCAATTGTGCGGTTCCTGTTCCCGTCACGCACAAACCCGCGGAGAATCACTGCACGGGGTGGGGTTAGAGGGGTGTTGGAGGGGGTGGGATGGGGGGGGGCCGGCACCTGCATGCCGCTGCGTGTCTTCATGATGGAGATGGCCTTCAGGAACTCGGGTTCTCTCTGGGGCTGAGTCTCCGCTGGCACGAACACACGCACACACACACACACGAACATCATCGTGAATACAATCATCATAGTACCATCACCGTAAAACTATTACCACCATCATCAATATACCATCACCATGATATCATGATCATCAAACTACCATCACTGCCATCATGAATATTGTCAACATTCCATCATTTTCTAAATTTTAGCAATATTCCACCACCATCATTAAAATGGCCCCAGTAAATATAACCATCAAGATAAGTCCATCGCCATCGCTACACCACCACCACCATCAACACAACACGCTCGTCAATCACACTGTGCATGAGTGACCTCAAAGATGAAAATACAGAATAGGCAACGTTTCGGGCAATGGTCCTTCGTCATGGCATATAACTCAAACAGTCAAAACGGCAGCGTCAAATAATTCCGTTAGTAATAAAAACTTTGTGGCCGGACAAACGACAGCGAAGGACTAATTATTTAAGATCGCGCAGTGACGCGACGGCGAACGTAACGGAGGCCCCACCGATGCGGGAGCAGGCCCCCTCCAGCGTCTGCTGGAACGCGGCACGGCCCTCGGGGCTCCCAAACTCGAACACCAGCGAGTGGCGGGGAGCCGCCCCCCCGACGCCCCGGCCCCCCCCGCCCCCCCCGCCCCTCCCGCTGCCGACTGGGGGGCTCCAGGGGTCCAAGAGGAGCAGCTCCAGCCGGGCCGGGGGGGCACGGGGGGCCCCGCGGTGGCGGCGGCGTGCCGCTCGGAGAGGTCGCGCTGCACAGACAGCAGCAGGTCCCGCAGGGCGTCGTCCAGGGCCTGCGGGGTGGGGGGCACGGGCGGGAGGGGGGGGCATGAAGGAAAATATGAGCTCACTGGCAAGGCACGGTGAGCTCACCTGGTGAGGCACGGTGAGCTCACCTGGTGAGGCACGAGGAGCTCACCTGGTGAGGCACGGTGAGCGAGTCGACGAGGCACGGTGAGCTCAACTGGTGAGGCACGGAGAGCTCACCTGGTGAGGCACGGTGAGCTCACCTGGTGAGGCACGGTGAGCGAGTCGACGAGGCACGGTGAGCTCACCTGGTGAGGCACGGTGAGCTCACCTGGTGAGGCACGGTGAGCTCACCTGGTGAGGCACGGAGAGCTCACCTGGTGAGGCACGGTGAGCGAGTCGACGAGGCACGGTGAGCTCACCTGGTGAGGCACGGTGAGCTCACCTGGTGAGGCATGGTGAGCTCACCTGGTGAGGCACGGTGAGCGAGTCGACGAGGCACGGTGAGCTCACCTGGTGAGGCACGGTGAGCTCACCTGGTGAGGCACGGTGAGCGAGTCGACAAGGCACGGAGAGCTCACCTGGTGAGGCACGGTGAGCTCACCTGGTGAGGCACGGTGAGCTCACCTGGTGAGGCACGGGGAGCTCACCTGGTGAGGCACGGTGAGCTCACCTGGTGAGGCACGGTGAGCTCACCTGGTGAGGCACGGTGAGCTCACCTGGTGAGGCACGGCGAGCTCACCTGGTGAGGCACGGTGAGCGAGTCGAAGAGGCACGGAGAGCTCACCTGGTGAGGCACGGTGAGCTCACCTGGTGAGGCACGGTGAGCTCACCTGGTGAGGCACGGTGAGTGAGTCGACGAGGCACAGAGAGCTCACCTGGTGAGGCACGGTGAGCTCACCTGGTGAGGCACGGTGAGCTCACCTGGTGAGGCACGGGGAGCTCACCTGGTGAGGCACGGCGAGCTCACCTGGTGAGGCACGGTGAGCTCACCTGGTGAGGCACGGTGAGCTCACCTGGTGAGGCACGGCGAGCTCACCTGGTGAGGCACGGCGAGCTCACCTGGTGAGGCACGGGGAGCGAGTCGACGAGGCACGGTGAGCTCACCTGGTGAGGCACGGTGAGCTCACCTGGTGAGGCACGGTGAGCTCACCTGGTGAGGCACGGGGAGCTCACCTGGTGAGGCACGGTGAGCTCACCTGGTGAGGCACGGTGAGCGAGTCGACGAGGCCGCGGATGTCTGCGAGCCGCGCCGTGTCCTCCTCCAGCCCCGTGACGCTCCTCTGCAGCGCCTCCCTCGCCGCCGGCACCAGCAGCTCGCACGAGCCTGGGGTCATCGCGGGGTTACCACGGGGTCACGGTCAAGGGGTTACGGTCGTGAGTCAGGAGACGGTTTGTGGAGCCGTGGTGGTGGTGTTGATGGTGGTATTGCTGATGGTAGTTATGATGATAGTAGTGGTGATTGCGATGGTGGTGGTAGTGGTAGTGATGGTTGTGGTGTTGGGTACAGCTGTTCTAGTGGTGGTGATGGTTGATGAGATGATGACTTACGGTGTGGCAAGAGGTGGATGAGACAGTGGTGGTGGGTGGTGGATTGAACTTGACGGTGGTGGTGATGGTTATGATGCTGGTGACTGTGATGAACAGTGTAGCTGCCCTGGTGGTGGTGGTGTTGTGGTACGGTGCGGCGAGAGGCAGTTAGGATGTGGTGGTAGAGTCAGGGGTGGTGGAATGTGGATGAGAAAAAGTGGTGATGGTGGAAGACTTGTCCGTGGTGGTGGTGGTGATGACCATGGTTGGTGGTGGTGACAGTGGCGGTGGTGGTGATTCCATCTCACCTTTCACCACCTCCAGTTCGTGGAGTGGAGAGCGCCACAGCAGCTTGTACTTACTGCTCAGGTCAATGTAGCTGCCAGCAGTTGTCCTGCACACACACAGGCAAAGATCTCCCATGTAGCCTCCACAGTCTATTGAGGCAAGCGCTGCTCGTGAAAACCCTAAGAAAGTCGGCATCGCGCAAAGGGCTGGGTGTGGCCGGATACACGCCCGGCCGCCTTTGTCTCCCCAGCGCCTGAAGAGGCCGGAGGAGCAATTCTGTATTGCGCGAAGTGGTGCACTGCTCACTGCGAGTGCTCTCTCTCCGTGCAGGCACTCACAGGCTGAAGGAGCTGCGACGCAGCGAGCCCGACTTGCGCTTGAGTGTCGTGCAGAGCAGGAGGTCGGAGAAGAGAAAGAGGCATCGCTCCTTCTTGCCCCCCACGGACTTCTGCTCCTCACAGAGATACATAGAAAGATCCCCCGTGTGGCCTTTCACAGCCTGTTGGGACGCGTGCTGTGAGCCAGTGCCTATGATGCCCGTCACGACGCACAAGTGAGTAGGTGGATCAGTGTCTCCCAAGTGCTGATGTTTACCCATCACACCGGGTACTTATTTGAGGCCGAGTCGACCTACAGAGAGCCCAGGACTGGTTCAGAAAATCGCCACCGGTGTTGGTCGTGAGCGGGAATCGAACTCGGTGGCCAGGTTTCGTAGCGCAGTGCGTTAACCGCTACAACTACCGCTCCCCATGGGCGTTCGTCCAGAATTTGAACCCGGGACCTCTCGCACACAGGCACACACAGACAATCGCACAGACCATACAGACGGACAGCCATGCTGGGCCCATTGGTAGCGGAGTATGTCATGACCATGCGACAAGCTTGCGAGCCCCGATTGGCCATTACGATCCTGTTATGCGCAAATAGTCGCTCAGACATGGACAAAGCGGCTGGCGGAGAGATGGACTGGTTTCGGTGCTGCGCTGCTCAGCGTGGGGACGATCGGTGGCAAATTCGCTCATCAGCGGAATCTCACCACCTCCACCACGAGCTCCTGTCGGATTGAACCTCCTCCCCGGAACAGCCAACTGCCAACACAGCGACAAGACAAAGGCAATGATCACGCGTACAGCCTTAACAGACTGGAGGAGCAAGTGCTGCTAGCGAGCAACTGTGAAGCAAGGAACGGCACACGAGGTGGTGGGTGTCCAGAACCACGCCCGGCGCCTTTGTCTCCCTATGTATGTTGAACTTCTTTCGCACCGTACGTAGCCGACCGTGCTAATGGAGGTGCGAGTTGACCTAGGCTAGGACCAGGAGCGGTTTCAGAAAATTTGTGGCCGGGTGGGAGGGAAGCCCCACCTCACTGAGGCCCTCGATGGCCGCCTCGACCGCTGCAGGCGCACGCGTGACGCGTGGCCTCCTCGGCCTCGCGGCGGCCCTGGTTGATGCGGCTGGCCAGGGGCGGGAGGCCTCGCTGGGCCTCCACGAGGCACGGCCGGTCAGGGTGCTCCTCCGGGGTGTGCTTAAGCAGGTCCTGCCGTGGGGGATCGACACAAGCGCACACACACACGCACGCAGACACACACACACACACGTCACTCCACCACCCCCTCTCCTCCTGCTCATCATCATCGCCATGGAGTGGAAGATGGCAGCAGCCTTCACGCGGCCCAGTCTGTGAAGTGGGAGATCACGGCGAATCGCAGCAACGCGGCGACCGAACATCGACCATCAACCTCCTGGTCTCCAGAGCAACAACACAAGCCCATCACCATCATCATCCTCCTTCGTGGACTGGAAACCCCAAGGTGGACTTGCAGCTCGTCAACCTGGAGCCACGATGAACCCCACACTCGTGACTCAGACGGGCCTGGCACAGAGCACCTCGAGACAATGCCAACCACGCTACGTCAATGTCCCCACCCACCCCCGCCCCTCGCCCCCCCGCCAACCCCCCAGACCTTGATGAGGAGCTCGTATCGTGGGATCCTCTGCACCGGTTTGATCATGAGGTCAGCCAGGGCTTGCTTCTCCCGGTTCTCCCGCATGCATTGCTGGGAAGGGGACAGGGCAAGGCATCAGCGGTGCTGCGTACGAGCAAAGACAAGACAAAGATCCCCCGTGTAGCCTTTGACAGACTGTTGGGGCAAGTGCTGTGTGCGAGTAGCACCTATGAAAGCTACGAACACAGTCTCACTCTTATCACTCTTCTATCGCTACCACCACGGTCACTATTGCCCCTAGACTCCACTCGTCGATTCCTCCTCCGCCCGTGTTGAGGACTCGCTCTCTGTGCCGTCTCACCCACCACCACCCCGCTGTGTTCAATCACTACCACCACCAGCAATGCAGGGCACATCAACAAGCACGAAAACCATCCGTACAGCCTTAACACCACCTATGAAGGCTGGTAGGGCAGACGAGGCGTCGGTGTGGTCAGCACCGCGCCCGGCAGCCTTTGTCTCCCCGGTGCCGATGTCCATGACGAGCCACGTGCTGGGTGCAGGCCACGGTCACGTACTGACCGTGGCCACGAGAGGGCGCCGTAGCACTGCGAGCCGGGTTCACCAAGCGGCGTAGGGGTCGACTGTGCTATGGCGAAGGGCCATTGTTCGAAACGTCGCCTATTCTATTTTATGTTTTACCGTTAAAGCCTCGCCGTTAACCCCCTCTCCTCCCACCCGTACCTCTCTCCTACCCCTGCACATATTCCTCCTCCATACTTCTCATTCTTCTCTGTACTCCACCCTCCCCCTTACCTCTCATCTCCTCTCTCCTCCCATTCCATCCTTCCCCCCTCCTCTCGCAGTCCCTTCTGCACCTCTCTCCCCTTGCTCCTCTCTCCCCTCCTGCCGTCTCTTCATCCCTCTAACCTCCACTACACCTCCACGATCCCTCCCTCCCTATCTCTCTCTACATCTCTCTTCCTTCGCACCTCTCCTAACGAATCTCCTCTTCTACATCTCTCTCCCGCCCCCTCACTCCACCC